TGGGGAGAGTCAGAAATAGACTGTGGCTTCCCCAGCTCCAGGCAGCACCAGGACGTCACCCCATTTCTGAATCAGGAGTCTTGAGCGGCTGCAGAGGGTCGGGAGGGTTGGGGAATCCCACAGGGGTTCTGCACTCCCACCTGCCCTGCCCCACCCCTCCACAAGGCCTTCTGCAGCTGCCAAAGCGCAGCTGTGCTCCGGCCACGTCTCTTGTGGCTCCTCGGAGAGCACCTTGATCCTGAAGCTCAAAGCCCAGGAAGCCCTGGCGGCATCCCTGCCCCAGGCAGGTCCAAGCAGGCTTATGTAGTGAGGGGGAGGAACCGGCGCCCATTCCTTTGCTCCTCGACACAGGCTGCTGCCCTTCCCTGCACCGGCTCTAGGGGTCTGCTCTCGCAGAGCTTCATGACTCGTTCAACCTGACTGCCCTTTTCCTGGCCATGGTTCTGCCCAGAAAATATCCTGGGCCACCCTGGCCTGAGTGGTGACTGTGTGTCAGGTCGGGGTCAGCATGCTGAGGGGCAGGGCTGGTGACCTGTGATGCATGCCTCTGCCTGAACCCGACTCTCTGTGCTGGGAGAATCCTTCCTGGGCCTCGTCCCAGCTGTGTCCCTGCCAGCTGGTGCTGCTGGGGTTCCTCCCTGCCGCGGTCCTCCTCGCATCTGGAACTTGCTGTGGGTTCTGATTCCAGCCGTAGTAGCTGCTGATCACATTCGTCTCTCTCTGAGCCTCAAGGGTCTCACCTGTAATGTTGGCAAAGTAATGGTCTGTCCTTGGCATCAGGCTCGTCACCATTTTTCCTTTTGGAAGCCCTGACTCTGCATGAAGAGTTAGCATAGCTTCAGGTAGCAGGTGGACAAAAGGGTATCTTTTATATATACTTAGGGTAACAAGTATTAATTTGGAGTGTGGGGTGTTTTTGCCGTATGGCTAACTTCTTCCCCAAGTCTTGGACATTTCAGGGGCCCCTCACAGGCCTGCAGCACACTTTGTCCTTGGTATCTGGTGGGAGTCTGGGCAGGTCCGTATCTCTTGCTAGTGGGTTCGTCTCTGTCTTTGTTGGACAGAAATCTGGAAGAGTCTCCAGAGAGTGTTTCCAAATGCAAATCTAGTCCTGGCACACTCATACCCCGTCTCACCCAGGTCTGCTTTAAATCCTTCAGTGCTGCTCTGGGGTTCCAGGAGTGAATCCAGACTCCCTCTCCAGGGATGCCAGGCTGTGTGCATCCTGCCCCTGCTCAGACTAGGTACACACACACCTCCATGCAATCTAAACGACCCCACCTCAGGACCTTTGCACATGTCCTCTCCTCACCTAGCGATCCCCAATCATCCTCTGGATCCCAACTAAAGTATCACCTTCTGCAAAGACATTCATGTCCAGGTTACAGCCTAGTCTCAACAGTGGCCTGGCCTTGATGGGTTGGCAGCACCACCCTAAGACCCTGCTCAGCACCCTCACCTGGCAATCAGGGGTCTTCTTGCTCACCTCAATCCCCTCTGCTGGTGAGAACCACAGGGAGGGTCTTGGGGCCCACAGTGCTGTCTGGGGCTCTGCATCCACCCTTCCAGCTGTGGGGTCCTGGCACTCTGTGGGTAGAGAGGCGGGTTGGTGACAAGCCAGTGGGGTCCTGGCCTGAGCACCCTTTTGCTCTGTTGACAACCCTGTGCCTCCGGGGCTGTGTCCATCCAGAGGACTGCATATTCTAGACCATTCAGGGGTGCCCTGGTGACCTTCAGTGAGAAGCTTGGCAGCTAGATGAAGCCCTACAGTGAGCGACTGAACCACCAGACTGCCTCTGCGCCTTGGGACCAACTGCGCAGTTTTTGCTGGTTTGATGTCCATGCTTTCCTGAGATGTATCAATTGGATGAAATGCCTTTCTGGGAACATGGTCCACGACCAGCTGGCAAGTCACAGGTTGGGTTTTCTTGAGAAATTACTATATCCCAAGCATGCATTGTCACAAACATTTTTGTGCATTATCTCATTTAATTCTCATTGAGAGGGTCTAGTACTAATTTTCATTTTAGATGAGAAAGATAAGGTTCCAACAAAGAGGAGGGAAAAGCCTTGTTTGGGGGCCATGCCAGTGGACACCAGCCTCCAGGGACATTCGGGGTACTTCTCAGATTTGAGGAAATGCACAGCCTCACTCCTCAGGTGTCCCTATGGGTGTTCCTGGCTGGGCAGCTGGCTCAAGAATTGTCTTGAGCCACACATTAAATACAAATGGCTGGGGCCAGCATCGCGGACAGTGAAAGAGTTTATCAAGGCAATTGTAGGTAAAGAAAGGCAAATTTATTAGAGAAAGTATGAAGATCCGTTGCAAGGGTGCAATGGGCAGCACAGCAGAGAAGGGGCTGCCTGCAAAGAGGCAGGGGCTGGAAGGAAGTTTTATAGCGTTGTGCCAGAGGGCCTTATGTGCAGATAAGGTCGTGCTGCTGAGGCCTCGAGTGGAACAAGATATTTGGAAATAGGATGTCATGCCAGTGGGTTGTCTGTGATTAGCCAGCTCTCAGAACAATTATTCTCCCCCAACTAGGACCCCTTCCTCATTGTTGCTTACTTATTAGGACTCCACATTTTACTTCCCAGAATCCCATTCCTACACACAGCCTCTCCCTCTTAGCCAGAGGAGCTGCACAAAGGAAGTACCTTTTCACGGGTAAAAGACATGGTGCACCCACTCTTGCTGGGCTTCAGGGATTTTTCATTTCTATTGCTCTAAAAGTGCCTGTGTGCCTTCGCCCTGCATCCCATCTCCTTCATGCTTCCGAGCCCTTCTGTGGGCGGCACTGGGGCCAGGGATCTGGCTTGTTCCTGCTTTTCCTATGGTGGCCTGCCCCATCTTTATCCAGACAAAGTGGCTGTCAGGTTCTCTTGCCATTCCCTGTTCACAGAGACTCAGATACGTTGAGAAGCGAGCTAACGCTGGGTGCCCAGCTCTAAGGGGAGACCGCAGACAATTCCAATTTCCTGATGATTTCTCTTCCTTAACCTAATTCCTTCTTCAAGACCCTTGCAGACACTGCTGTACCAAGTGGATTCTGTATAACTCTCTCAGAAGCTTCCTCTTCCATGAAGCCTGTCTTGATTACCCCCCTGCCCCGCCCCCGTCCTCACTCCCTCAATGGTTAAGCCCCGTGAGTGAACAGTTAAGAGACGCTGTGAAGAGAGCTGTGGTCTTCTCACACTGGCTGCTTCTCTTCATTTGGGTCTCAGCAAAATGTTCTCTCTGCCAGATTCTGAATGTATCTGCCCCTGCCCAACCCCTCACCCACCATATCCCCCATTTCCTCCACGGCACTGACCATTCTCTGAGATGATTTTGTTCATTTGTCTGCCTTTACCTCTAGACCAGGGGTGTCCAATCTTTCAGCTTCCCTGGGCCACATATAAAGTACACTGATAGGTGATGAGCTAAAAATAATTGCCAAAAAACCTCATAATGTATGTTTTTAGGAAGTTTATGAATTTGTATTGGGCCTCCTTCAAAGCTGTCCTGAGCTGCATGTAGCCTGCAGGCCACGGGTTAGACAAGCCTGCTGTAGACTATGAGCTTCCCAAGGGCAGGGGAGTCTTCCCATATTCAGCACTGTGCTCTGGGGGCTTGGAACAGTGCCTGGCACAGAGCAAATATTTCAGTCATTTCCTGAGTGCTAGAATGAATGGTCTTTGGGGTGTTTTGACCAGACTGCAGAAGCAACACTTAGTGAGCTAGGCTTTGCACGCATTGTTTGGGATTGGGGAGGATTCCAGCCAGGAATTGTCAGAGGGGAGGTTCAAGTCTCACTGAACATCGAGATATGATGTGGAAGCAACCACCCACAGAGCCAGAAGACAAAGCCCCCGGGGGAGCAGAACCACAAAGGGTTGTGTTCTAGTGGGGAGGGAGGAGTGGCTGAGTCCTGCAACGTCCTAGGCTTTCTGCTGGGACAAGGATTATAAATAGGAGATAAATAATTTTTAAATGGAGCCTACATCCTCGCCGGGGCAAAATATTATGGCCCTAAATTCTGGGCGTTCAAATACTGGGCCCTGTTGTCTCCCTGCTGTGGTTAGAGGATCTGGAAGTGGGAGGGTTTCTGGCTCTGGCCCAAGTACAATATTATTGTAGTCACAAAAATAATCAGAGCTTGGCATTAATTTCGGATAATGATGCCTCCTTCTCCTGACAAGCCCTTTATGTTTTTTGGTGGTGACTGTTGTTGGCTGCATCCTCCAACTTCTTCAATGAGAGACCACTTGAAAAAGAAATAATAATTTGTCTTCCTATCGCACACTCCGTCTGCGCTGATGGTGGGAGGGGAATGTGTGTGGGTGGGCTCAGCTCTGTTAGCTGTGCTGGCTGGAAGAGATTCCCAGTTTTTATTCAGCGCTCGAGCTGAGCTTTATGCTTGCTGACAAGAGGCGGGAGGCCCCTTAGACATCTTTAGACACTCCCCCTGTGCTGGGCTGGGCACAGGCGGCTCTACTCAGCCGTTCAGCAGGCAGAAAGCCGGAAGGAGAGATCAGTGCTCCCACGGCTGGTGTCTCCTCTGCTGACAACGGAGGCAGTGCTGGGAAGCATGGATCTCCCAGCATCTCTGGATCTAGAAGCCTGAAAACAGGTGGTGCTACCCACCCCTCCCTAAGCCAATGGGCAGGAAAAAGAATTTCCTGAACAGATCTCCTTGATGCTTAAATACACTGCTCTGGTGAACAGTCCAGACCAGGCAAGATTTGGGCGACAGATCAGAAAAATGAAGACCTGCACATGCGGAGTTGGAACAAGGACTACCCTAGTATTAGCTCTGTGACGGGGCAGCTTTCACTCTCACTTGGAAGTCTGACTTGATTTTGCCAGCAAGAGGCAACAACCAAAGGTTCACTTTCTCTCCTCCCCATTTTGGGAGGCGATCTATAGGGGTGTGCCAGCCACCTCTCATCCTTGCAGACCCCAGGTGGAATTTGCAGGCAGCCACTATGGTGCAAAATGTAATTCTAGTGTTTTTCCGCAGACGGCTGAGCCAAAGACCTGCCGTGGAAGAGCTGGAGAGAAGAAATATCTTGAAACGTGAGTAGCTGGTGATTCCTCTAGAGGTTTTCCTTCACGTGTGGTGAGGCTGTTGCACAAATTCTGAGTTCCCATAACCCAGCCCTTCTCTGCAAGCGGAATGCTCTATGCTCCCAGTAAACCTGAGCTGCTGAGGAATTCTGAAAGCAAGCCCCAAAGGAAAGCTGATATATCTAGAAACATTCTTTTTTTTTAATTTAAAAAAACTCCTCTCCTCTTAGCATAAAGATGTTTTTATTTTCAGGTTAGTTCCGTATGTCTAAGCACATTAGGTTTTAAGCAGGTCTTCCTGGCAGTTTGGGTCGGGGTTCTTCTTGGCTACAGAAATCACAAAGCATGAACTGCATCATAAATCTCACTAGAGAAGGACACGCCCCTTGCCTGTTATACTTGGGAGGAATAAAGCAGTCAGCTCAGGGAAACAGTGAAGCCAGGGGAAGCTTTCATGTGGCTGAGGACTTTGAGGTTCCAGGACCCTCTGTCGCTCCCAGCCTTGCGCCCCCTTGCCATTTCCTGTTAGGTGGACAGTTATAGGATATGCTGAGCACAGGTGTTCATGAGTAACCTCCATGCTCTAGGGCACTATATTCCATTAACTATTCCATAAAGTTAGCGATTTAAGGGTGGCCAAACCTCTTGAAAAAGTGTTTCTCAAATAGTTCTTTAGTCATTTTCAGTTTTTAAAACATTTTCTACAGAAAGTATCTTCTAATGGCTTGGATTTTTAAAGGACTTTTTTTTCTCTTTATGTGATGAATACTGCAGACTTTCTCTGAGTTTGTTTTCTTTTTACGAAGTTATGATGGTACCAAGCTGACTTTCTGTCAGAAAATACTGCAGAGCCCCTTGTTGGTCTGGGTACTGAACTTGAATTGATTCCTCTCTCCTTTCTTTGCCTCAGTGCCTTCATTAACTGCCTAAAACAATCCCCTCCTTTATAGACTGTTGAAAATAACCCTCAGATAAAGACTTCTTCATTTGACTTTTTAAACTTAAGATATAGTGACTACGGTTCTGTGTTAACTATACCATCTCTGAGGATTTAAAGAAAAGCTTTTCATTGATAACATGCTTAATTAAGTAGGCAGACAGAAAAGTCAAGCTGTTTCAGTTGCCAAATATTTGAAGTTTTAAAAATTAAGTCACTTATTTGTAAAGCTTGTAAGTTGCAGATGCTACTAAAAGTAGCAGTCCAGACTTGAACCAGGCAAGTTCAAGACACAGGAAGCACCACATTCCAAGTAGCCTTGGAACAGGAAGAGTACTACAGCCCAGACTTTTAACCCAGAAACCATGTCTTCTTTCAGTAGCAGCCTCTTCCTTCCTAGGTCTTCCCACCAGCAAGTGCTTCTAATTGTGTTATTCTTTGGAAATAAATATCAGAGCCTTAGAAATAGAACTGTCTTTGGTGACAGGGAGCTAACAAGTGCATAACTGAAACTGACTGCACTGACCTTCAGTGCACAGAACGGAAAATGAGTTTCCTCTGCGGTGGCCATGGCAATCCCGCCATAAACTGTGCCTTCATTAGTGGATGTAGGTTTGTCCTTAGCTTGGAAGCCCTCTCTGGTGTCCTGAGTGGGAGGACCTGAGACTTTTACTGCTAGGTTTGTGGTGGGTGTTTGGTTTTTCTTTTGTTCTGTGGAGATGAGAATAGGGTAACTATATATAGCCTAACATCATACTCATAGGCTCCTGATACACAGGACTTCAAGCACTTACACTATATTGCATTTTCTTCTTGTAATCAATCCTTAGAATATTACTTTTGTGTTTGCTTCAAGGGGGAACTCATGACTAATTGCAATTATATCTGAGGAGCACTCAAAACTCTGCCCATGTAACACTATAACATGGATAGAAAAGCAGGAGAGCAGTGGCCCCTTTCTATGCTGATGGTAATTCTTTATTAGGCCCAGTCTGTGCCATGGACTGTATTCAGTACTTGGTATAGATTCCCTCATTTAATCACTGCAACATATTTGTGAGGTTTGCACTTTTTAACAAATGAATATTGGAACAAGGATAGCACTAGAGTTCAACCCCAGGTCTGCCTAACTCCACTGCCCATTTTCTTAACTACTGCATCAGAAGCAGTAATACGTTTTGGACATTCATGGAAGACTCATGTATATAACTGTCCAAGCTGCTGGAGCTATTTCCAGAAAATATGGGTGTAGCAGTCCTGATTATGGGTCCCTTGCTTTGTATAATGCACAGGATTTTCTGGGTCTGGAAATGAGATCCACAAACATATCACTAAGGGGAGCTGAGAAGGGGAGGTCTGTGGGCTTAGACTAACAGGGAGGACCTTCTTGGAGGAAGTATCCAACAGAGCGCCTGGCACGAAGAAGCACTCTGACAGGAACTTTGAAAGATCAATTCTCCGAAGACCCTGCTAGTGACCTTTGTAGTTATGACATTTTTCAAGATTAAAAAAAAAAAAAACAAAACAAAGATCTGACTTGTTTCAATCTTTTCACATGGGAGTTGCCCACGGCCTATTTTAAAGAAATCTGAAAAATTTTATGTCACGTAAATCCCTCATGGCTGGCCTTATCTGGACACTTTCACAATGTTTCTCTAATTGTATCAGCTTTCTGATGATACCTTAAAAGTATGGTTTCTTCTGGTTTCTCACTTGTATAAAGAATTAAGCACAAATAGGATTTAATTACCTTTTCTAAAACACCCTAGTCCAAGATGACTCACTTAAAAAAATTACTGGAAAGCACAATATATTAAACTCTCATATAACCAATCCCACAAAGGTATAAATATTTGAAATGCATCTTTTAAATAAAGGCAGATAATGTGAAATTGTGTTAACTGCAAGTGGCAGGATTTCCCTTACCAAAACCTAGCAGTGTTTCTAGGAATGCTGATTGTTGAAATCTCTTTCCTAGGAATGGAGCTATGTTCAGGTCAGGGACCTAAGGCTTTATTTAGCAACGCAGAACACCAGAAATAGGACAGCCATTATCTTGTATCCCAGGGGGACGCTTACATTTTGTACTATATCTCAGCACTTTGGTCTATTTTTAGCTTCCAAGTATAGGTGAGAGCACAGCTTGAATGTTAATAGTCACAACTTACCAAGCAAAGCTAATTTTGCTGAGGGACTTGGGCTCCTTTACAAGGCACTGTCATATAACAGTGTTCACGCTTCAGCAATGGAGAGTCAGCTAGGTTCATAGATATGTTAAGATTTGAAATATAGTCTGAACATATAAATTTCAAGCAAGCATATGCTGCCCAGGAGCTGAAGAAGGTGTTCCATGTTTTATGTTGGTTAAAAAGTCTGTATGCTTATTACGGAAAAAAAAAAGTAGTGGCAGTGCTATTTATATTGAAGTGTACATACACATTTATTTACTTAGTCTACTACAGATATTTTTAATGTGGCATCTAAGTGCTAGATGTAAATATAAAGATATTTGGGGAGAAAGAAAATCAGTGAGAAAGACAGACACAGAGATGTCTACTTCCTTAAACAGCAGCCATATCTGTGGTTGTTTCTAATGCACAGAAGGGCTGAGGAGACCAGGTTGGGATGACAGCAAAGCTTCGCTTAGTACAAGTATTTCTGTGATGAGACCATGATCTCCTGAACAGTGATTGACAAAGTGGGGGAAAAAAAAAACCCACAAAGAGTGATGTGGAAAAAGATCTCTTTAATATCTTACCTTCAGCTCCCAGAAATACGGATATCTTGGGTACACCTTCCTGCTAAAGAGAAGAACGTTTCAACCTGTTTCTCTTTGTTATTTTTTCCCCTATTTTCATCTTTCACAGAAAGGAATGATCAGACAGAGCAGGAAGAAAGAAGAGAAATCAAGCAAAGATTGACAAGAAAGGTACTATAAGCATTTTATTGCCTGAATAATAAAGGTGGTCTAGAGAACAGCTGCTTCGGTAGCAGGTGGGATGAGTAATCTAGGTATCACTCTGTGATCATGAATAATGTTTTCCTGGACAACATGGCATCAGTTAAATCAGGATATTTGCTCAACGACAATGAATTAACTCCCTCTGACATTCCCTATGGACGAAGTCCTTCCCCAGCACAGTAGCACTTGGAGAGGTGCACAACGCACATGACATTTTTTACTTATGTTCAGGTGGAAGCCAGAAGTTGATTGGCATTTTCTTAATTTACAGTGTCTAGGAAAAGCATACCTGGGTATCAGTGTTTTAGTTACATTTTGCACTCATCGCTTTTGTTCACCTCCAATATGTCTAGAAGTTCCTCAGTTGCAGAAAGCTTATCTGTGACTCAAATAGTTAACATTTACTAGGGCCAATACAGGTAGCAACTCTATACACCTTAATCTACTTTTAAAGCCCTGACCATTTCTAAATTCAAGTGTTCTGGATTCCCCTTCTTTGTTGTGCTGCTCCATAATAATTCTCTTGGAATTAACAGAATATCCTTCCTAAGCTGGACATATAATAACTTTATTAGCACTTTGAAAAAGCTTATCTAATTGTACCTGAAGCCATTGATGCCATAAACTCTAAGTTAAATCACTAACTATTCCTTGAGCTGGTGCTATGTACTACTGGGGATGTTCCTTCTGATAAAATGTTTTGGAGGAAGGGGGATTGTGACTTAAGGGTACAGTATATAATTTAAGCCCTTCACATTAGAGATTGCTTGTATTCAGGTTATATATCACAGTTTCAGTTTTATTTTTATTTTTTTAGAAAGATGCTGTTTGTTCAGAGTGCTTCAAAAAAGCTAGTTTAGCATGTGATATTTAACTATGATGATCTTTGATTTTAGCTTAATCAGAGACCCACCGTTGATGAATTAAGAGACAGAAAAATTCTGATACGATTCAGTGATTACGTGGAAGTAGCAAAAGCGCAGGACTATGACAGGAGGGCAGACAAACCCTGGACGAGACTGTCAGCAGCAGATAAGGTACATAACTGCCTGTGCTGGGGGGGTTGTTGGATGTTATAATAAGGGCAAAATATGTCATGCCAGGGAGTTTATTCATAGATAATGGGAGTCTTCAACTATTTAAATTAAGGGTACACCTGCAGTAAATATTGGTTTCTCAAAGACAATTCAGGGTCAGATTGAGAAATGGTTCTCAGCTAGGGCACAGTTTTGCCCCGAGGGACATCTGGCAATGTCCAGAGACATTTTTGATTGTCACAACTCGGGATGCTACTGGTAGAGGCCAGGGATGCTGCTAAGCATCTCACAATGCACATAACAGGTCCCACAACAAAGGATTTTCTAGTCCCAAATGTCAAGACTGTGGAAATTGAGAAACCTTGGTATAAGGGATAAATCAAAGGTGGGCAAGGCTGCCATAAGAGATCAACTGACAAGTTTAAACAAGAAGAGCTACAGTGGGGATAAAGAGGAATTCAAGAAAGCCTCTACAGTATAGAAGAGGTTCTAGATTCTCTCCCTGGACTTGTGCAGTTTGAAGTATCTCTGAGAACCTCCTGAGGAGTCTGAACTGAATGGTTAGAGAAGGAGGAAGCAGGTCATAGAGTCTCTGCCTGACATTTGCTGAGCACAGAGAGGGTAAGTTCTTGTCTGTGATCAAACACTTGACTGGCAAGATTTAAGCCCACGAATGTCTATAGAGTCTTTTTGTTACCTTCTTGCTTCTATTAATTTTCAGAAGACTTAAAGCCTTTAGGAAGAGAAAAATTATACATTCAGGCAAAGAAATTTGCTAACTGTTCTTCATTCTTCATATGCCGAGTATGAGTATGTACACAGATATTGCATCAACTTGGAGAAATGCGAACATGTTGGACTAACTTGCCTAGTTCTTTGTGATTGATGTGCTCAGAGGATCACAGTGATACAAGGAGAAGTATCTTTGGTAGTCTGCAGATGTGTTTGAGTATGAGAATAATATACCCCTAAAGTTCTTAAAGACTTTCCTTGTCCCAGAGGCTATGTTTGATGTTTTAGTCTCATTGGGTCCCTCGAGTGTTTATCTGAGAAAGAAGTACATGATGCAAGTGGGCCTGGGGAAGCCAAAATATTAATATATGCTGAAGTTTCTCTTAGAAAGGCTTATTTCTAGATTATCTCTGATTATAAAATTCCAAGTTCACTGAAAGCTGCAGTTTACTCATTATCTTGGTGTTCCTGTTTCATTAGTGCCCTAAGCATGTGCTTGGTCTGTTTAGGTATGGAGTGAGTGGGGTTGGGGGAAGGATTGTCTTCCCACTTCAGTCCAGCAAATTAATTCATGGAAGACTCATATAATACTAGTCTTCGCCAGAGCAATCGAGCAACAGAAAGAAAGGGCATCCAAACTGGAAAAGAGGAAGTCAAGTTATCTCTCATTACAGACAATATGATCTTATACCTAGAGAAACCTAAAGACTCCACCAAAAAACTTAGATCTGATAAATTCACTGAAGTTGTAGGATACAAAAATTAGTAGCATTTCTATAAACTAATAATGGACTAGCTGAGAAAGAAATCAAGAAGGCAATCTTATTTAAAATAGGTGTCAAAAATACCTGGAAATGAATTTAACCAAGGAGGTGAAAGATCTGTACAAGGAAAACTACAAAACAATGATGAAAGAAATTGAAGAGGCCACACATAAATGGAAAGACATCTCACACTCGTGGATAGAAAGGACTAATACTGCTAAAATGACCATACTGCCCAAAGCAATCTATAGACTCAATGCAATCGCTATTAAAATACCAATGTCATTTTTCACAACAATAGTAAAAGCCATCCTAAAATTCATGTGAAACCCCAAAGAAACCTGAATGGCCAAAGTAATCCTTAACAAAAAGAACAAAGCTGGAGGCATCACACTAACTTCAAAATATAGTATAAGGTTATACTACCAGCACAGTTATTGGTATAAAAGACACATAGACCAATGGAAAAGAATAGAAAACCCAGAAAAAAATTCACATGTTTACAGCCAACTGATTTTTGACAAAGGTGCCAAGAACATAAGCTAGGGAAAGGACACTCCTCAATAAATGGTGCTGGGAGAATTGGATATCCATATGGCAAAAGAATGAAACTGCACCCCTATTTCTTACTATATACAAAAATCAACTTGAAGAACAAAGACTTAAATGTAAGACCCAAAACTATAAAACCACTAAAAGAAAACACAGAACAAACAGTCCAGGACATTGGTCTAGGCAAACATTTTACGGCTCAGACCTCAAAAGCACAGATAACAAAAATAAACAAATGAGACTATATTAAACTATAAAGCTTCTACACAACAAATCAACAGAGTAAAGAGACAACAGGGAATATAAGAAAATATTAATATCTATAAACTATTCATCCAACAAGGGACTAATATCCAGAATATACAAGGAACTCGAATAACAGTAAAAAAAAAATCCCATTAGAAAGTAGACAACGGACATGAATAGACATTTCTCAAAAGATGACATACAAATTGCCAACAGGTATATGAAAAAATGCTCAACATCATTCATTAATCAACAGGGAAATGCAAATCAAAACTACAATGAGATATCATCTTATTCCAGATAGAATAGTTATTTAAAAAAAATGCTGGAAAGGATTAGGAGAAAAGTGAACTTTTATATACTGTTGATAGGGATGTAAATTAATGCAGCCATTATGGAAAACAGTATAGAGACTCCTCAAAATATTTTTAAAAAACTACTATATATGATCCAGAAATGCCACTTCTAAGTATAGAGCCAAAGGAAATCAAATCAGTACACTGAAGAGATAGCTGCACTCCCCTGTTCACTGCAGCATTAACAATAGCCAAGATTATCTAAGTGTCCATCAATAATGAGTGGAAAATGTAATGCGTGTATATATGCATATGTGAATACAGTGCACGCACACAAAATGGATATTCCACCTTAAGAAAATCCAGTCATTTTTGACAACATGTATGGAACTGGATGTTATTATGTTAAATGAAATAAGCCAGGCACAGAAAAACAAATATCACATGTTCTCACTCATGTGGGATCAAAAAAGTTGATGTAATGGAGGTAGACAGTAGAATGATAGACACCAAAGCCTGGGAAGGGTGGCAGGGTTTGGGGAGAGAAAGAGAGGTTGGTTAACGGGTAGTAACATACAGTTAGATAGAAAGAATAAGTTCTGATGTTCTATAGCAGAGTAGGGTGAATATAGTGAACAACAATGTTGTGTATATTTCAAAACAGCTAGAAGAGAGGACTTGAAATGTTCCCAACACATAGAAATGATAAATACTTGAGGTGATGGACATCCCAAATACTTGATCATCACGTAGTCTATGCATAAAACATATCACATGTACCCTGTATATACGTACAAATATTATGTATCAATAAAATGTTTTACAAAGACTTCCAGAATATTAGCTACATACTAGCTTGGTAGGACTATAATAATGAGTATGGCAGTTTTAATGATGAACCAAAAATTGTTTATTTTTTTCTGTGTATTACATAATCGAGTCAACAAGTATTAGGAATGGTTAATTTATAAACATGATGCTAATTTCCCAATTTTTTAATATCCTGAAAAACAATGTCTTGTTTTTAAATTTCAGGCAGCAATTCGTAAAGAATTAAATGAGTACAAAAGTAATGAAATGGAGGTACATGCATCAAGCAAGCACTTGACAAGGTCAGATTTGTTTGTATGCATTTCATGGTACTTATATTTATTTTTGAAACACACACCACCCCGCTGCCACAAACCATGTATCCGGCTATACAAATTCAGCATTTTTCCAGAGAACTGTATTGAACAAATAGAATGTACTTCAATTAAGAATACTGCCTGCTCCCATTATTTCCTTTAGGACTTGGTGAAAGGTGATATGTATGGTAACAATATTGGTTTATTTAAGTAGTTAATGCATATTTAACAAAAATAAGCCTCAAGGCAATGAAAGTAATTTTTCTGTGTATTTAATTCCCCTCTAATATTCAGAATTCCTCCAATTTATAGAAATATTTACACTTATAAATTGCTGTGAAATTAGTCACTCCCCACCCTCATTTACTTTTTCCTACCTTAAATTATTAGTCACATCTTTAACACAGCTGGTGTTCTCCTAAAGCTGAGTATTTGTTTCCTCAGCAAATATTTGAGTAAGTGCTGAGAATGCAATAGTGAATATGATAAAGGAGGCTCCCATCTTCATGGAGTTTATGTTCCATTGGGAATATATTGGCTGATTCTTCCATAATCAAGACTTTTCCCATTAAGATGAATATATTCTCTGTCTATGCTACCATATGCAAGGGATGACACTGGGCTTCTTGGTGATGACAAAGTTGGGAAAAGATTTAACTCTCTTTACTTATTGAACTGAATATTCTTTCAGTATTTTCCCCCACTTCTTTTCTATGGCCATGACCAGTAGTAATTATGTGAAGTCCTCAGATTATCTCTGATTCTAAAGCAGATGACTGTGATGCAACAAGCCTTCAACTGAATCAGTTGCTTTGTTCTCTCTCCTTTTATCTGAAGATGCTCATGCTCAAGGCCCACATACAAAGAGAAAGGAAATCCTGCATGTAGATACTGCCTTAAACTAAAATAATAGTTTTAGTTTTCTGTTTGTTACAAAGTGGCCACTGCAATTGTTATCTGAAAGATTTACTCTGTAAGATTAATATGGCTATAGAATAGAAACTAAGTAAATGGAATTCCATCTTAACCCATGGTTTTGGGGTGAATGTATCAAGGAAGGGAAAGTTGGATGAATAGGAGAAAATTATGCAAATAGTTTGTTTTTTAAGGTTACCTCCCATGACTAACATACTTTTGGGAAGAAATAGGTCATATGAATGTTTAGGAAAGACAGTTCCAGTAAATAATGAACAATTACATTTAATGCTCATTCTGTCTTAAACAGAATGACTACGTATTCTATATATCATAATCTCAATTTTGTACATTTTCTGATTACACATTAAAATGTTTAGTAAAGATGTTCATTGTCCTAAGTTGATAACTTTCTAAAATAATGACTCTAATACTTGAACATAAGGAAATAAGATCTTTATACCACATTTTAACAATTCATATGAATTTAAGAGTCAGAACAGTATTTTTAGTTATGAGATTTTAAGTGTTTTAAAATTACTATGAACATAATACTCTATAAAAAGTCATAACTCTACCATAATTTCCAATAATTTATTAACGAATACATTATTTCTACTGATTTAGCAAAGCCCTGGCCTTTCTGTGTACTTCAAGGGCTTACCTCACTGTTTTAAAACTAAGTTCTAGGTAGTCCTAAGAATTCAGCATATAATAGGGGCCTTAGAGTAGGGAGCCCTCTGAGACTCTACCCTATTTTAACTAGAGTAGCTCCATCCTCATGTTTTACATATGGGACTTCTGAGAAGCTTTTTAATAGCAGCAAATTTAACCTTGTAGCAAATAGCAGCAAAAACTTTGTAGAAGGTCTTTGGCTATTTTAACTGCTAGAAATGTATAACCTTAAATTCTTTGTCTTTTTTATAATATCTAGATTCCACAGGCCATAGAGATTTTCTTCTGAGAAGAATTTGTGTTTAATTTTTTGATACCAACACTGAACATTCATCAGGGAACTTTCCTGAAGTTCAGCTCAAGACTACCTGCTGTGTTTGTGAGAAGAGCAGGATCACACACACAGGTGCAATCTTGACCACACTTACCTGCAAGAGGAGTAACCAGAGGACACACTTCCTTCCTTCTTTGGTGTCTGAGGAGTGTGAACTGTTGGGGTCAGTTAAGACCCAACATAACTCTATCAGAAGAAAACTGTTGTTTGCCTTTCAACCTTGTTTTACAGTTCTGCAGTGTAATGGAGGACGGGCAACGTGCATGTGCAGGCTCACCACTCCCAGGCCTCTGACATGAGGGACATGTGACAATGTCATTCAGTATTATGTTTAAAAGACATTTTTATCCTGATCATTATTAATTTGAAAACTCTTTAAGTTCATGTTATACAAAATGATTTACTGTATTATACTTTTCCTTTTTTATATAATGTCTAACAAAAAATACAGCTGCAACATTTTGATTCCTGTTAATTTTGTTCTTTAATTAAATGACTACTTATTGCAGGAAATTAACCCAGGCTTTACATTTTCTTGGGGTTGGGATGAGTGGTACTTTAGAACAGGGATCTGTGAAACAAGTCAATTTTTACTTTTGAGCCATCAGAATCCAAACACATGAATGAGAATTCCAACTTTTTATGTGTTTGGTAAGTTTTGTTTATATATGTGGTTTGTGCCTTAGAAAATCAAAATGAGTGCATTTAACCAAGAAATAAGCAATAATTTGTTGAAAACTTCTATCAAAATGAAAAGTATCCCCCTCTTTAAGAGTATTTTTAAGCTCACCTCTGCAAATGTTGTTAGACAAAGTTTTAGATGAAGGAGATTATAAAGAAAGGAAATTTAACCTGGCACAAAGGGGGAAACAATAAATGTTCCCTGAAAAATATTTTTAATTGGCTTTCAAATAAGTGTCCTTACAGAGATAAGCCTTCCCTCCTGGTATACTGGTGAGGCAGGAAGCACAGTAACTTGGAGCATGACTTTCAGAGCTTGCAGAACTTGTGCACAAATCCAAGCTCTGTGCTATTCAGCAAGTTACTTATTTTCTCTATAGGATGGTTGTATCTCTCGCACACAACATTGCTGTAGTATCTAAATAAGAGAAAGTAACTAAAGTGCTGGCACAGTGCTGAGGACATTCTGGGAATCCAATAAATGTTAGCTACTGATGATAGGGTTATCAGGTAGCACCTGGAGCAACTGAGTGTCCTCTGTGACTTCTTGCCACACATGCTACCTCATTGACTTCCACTATCTTTCCTTTTCTACTTAAGACTGCTACTGGGTCAGATGCCCACAGAAACTACTGAGCCTTTATGTTAGCACTTTGTCCAAAGTGACTTCTGATCAGTCCTAGAGACTGGCAAAACACACTATTCATTGAATTATAGTTTTTTTTTTTTTTTTTAAATACATTGTTATGGTAGAAAAATTCCAGCTCTACCTCTTAGTTGCTCTGTAACCTTCTGTGAATCAGTTGACTTCTCTGAGCCTCAATTTCTTCATTTGTGAAATGTATCTAAATCCTTTCTAATTAGAAGTCAGTTAAAGGATTTAAGATGTATATATATTATACATATATATACACACACACATACACATTATGCTGTTCATAACCCATTATTTGTAGCCAACCAACTACCAAAAACTTTACCTTTTTTCTATTTTAAGCAACATATTAGAAGCTCTCTGTATTTTTCAATTTAAAATATTAATGGGAGCCCAAATTATGTAAAACTAAGATTTCAATTTCCCTCACATAGAAATATTAATATACTTACTAAGAAACAAAGAGAAGGAAAAGGTGCTACTGTTTAGAAACCACCTTGGCCCCCACCGCACCCCAACCGGGACAATAGAGCAAGACCCTGTCTCAAAAAATATAAAAATAAAGAGACTTTGAAATCATATCACCTAAGTAATTTTCTGACAATTGAAATGGTGGTGGGGGCAGGGGGTGGGGGGAAGAACCTAACATCAAAATATCCACCTTGTGGAAAGATATGGTAATTACAGGCCTACATTTTATTATACATTGGAAGTAAAGTCAAAGTTTTCAGCTAGTGTATCTACAGTCCTTCAACAAACTCAAGCTCAGAAATGCAAAACCCTAGCTGTACTATTAAAACTGCTGTTACTATCTGCTTCCAATACCCATTTGTCTAGTTTTTTTCAGAGACCTTTTTGTCCATTTTTCATATGAAAACATCTCAGAAGATATTTGTAAGCAAATGAACATATGAAACTGAATATATTATTTTCAAACAGTAGATTTCTATAAATCCCATTTGCTTATTTATCTGCAAATTTATTTACAGTGATGATACTAGGAACATACTACTAGTTCATATTCAAAAAATGTTAGAATGAACAACAGAAAGTACTGGTTAGCAGTTCCATAGTTCTATGAAAATAGAGCAGTATTTTTAAAGTAATAAAAATTTTAAAAACCTTTTCAAAGTTTTTAATCTCAACTGTAAATCTTAAAGATATAAATGGGGAAATTCTAAAAAATTCAGTTTTCTTAATAAGCAATGGGAGGAAAGAAATCTGGATATATGGTATATATGGCAATAATTTAATGTTTCAAGTTGCAAACATGTTATATATGTATATTATTCCTTTCTAAATGCAGTTTATTATCCCTTCTCAAAAATACATATACCGAATATATTACTACAATTCAGCTGTGTTCCCTAAAAGACTGGTCTACACCACCAGTCCATTCTCTGCTTTCCAGACAGCCTACTTCTTAATTATAATGGTGACACCTGATGTGGCAGAAAGCACATCTCCAGAACCACCTATCATCTTGCTTCAATCTTTACATTCCAAGTTAGATTTGTTTGTTGATACTATTTGCTGGTATTTTGCTCAAAATTCTACTTGTTTATTCATAGCATATATGATTCTTCCATACTTTAAGTTTTAATTAGATAAGGAACTTATACACTAACTGTATCTGGTTTAACTGTTAATAGGTGATAACAGAATGGTTAAAGAACCCCAGCAACTGTGAAGCTCCACACTAAGCACTGAGCTCAGAGTTGGCAGAATTTGTCACTGTAGACTACAAATTTCATGTTGAATTAAATGCTATATGAAAACCACTCCATCTATTATTCATTTAAAGGATCTACTGGCCTTTTAAGTTGGTGTTGGCCATCCATGATACGATTTGGTGGCAATGAGATCACTATAGTAATGGCTGTAGCTACAGTTTAGTATTTAGGTTTCTGCCTAGCTATACTAATGTAAAATTTCTTCTCTTCCATATCCTTTTCCATGTGTACTACTGGGACAGTTACCACCTTACAGCTCTATTTGGTTGAGGACACGCAGTAAACCTACACCAGGGTGTTAGATTACAATCCAGGTAAGAAATTTAAGTCATTAGCTACAATGATCATTTATTTTTAATATGTTTAAAATAGAACAATCAATAATTTTAGCTATATTAATTAATATACTCATTAGCCTCTGCTATGCAAAATTGATTTAAATTACTATTTCTGTGAAACAGTAAGATAAACTAAGGAAAAATTTTATAAGAACAGAGTTCTGATCTATAAGATTTCCCTTCTGAACTTGAAGTCTGCAAACTACAGCCCACAGACCAAATCTAGCCAGCCCCACTCACCCCCCCACCACTGCCCTTTTAGTGGCCAGTAAGCTAAGAATGGTTTTTATATATTTAAATGGTTACAATTGAAATGATTATAATAAGCACTAACATGATACTCTGAAATTTGCCTTCTGGCCCACAAAGCCTACAACATTTTCTGTATAGCCCTTCAGGACAAACTTTGCTAGATCTTGCTCTGAACTTAAAAAATTTAAATAAACATATAATAGAACATTTTAGAAATGAATTACATAGTAGTCAAATAGCTAAATTGTTTTTAAATAAGCTTAAACCCTTTTAACTTCAAATCTATTCCAAATTTCAACACTCATTATAAACCCAATTGTCTTTGTATTTGACTTGTACAAAACGTACATCAAAGTAGGTAAATAAAGCCTCATCGTTATTAAAGCCAAGTGTTTCATTAATGTGACTTCCACTCCTCCAAGTTCCTTTTATTTAAAATTGTTGCTATCACAATATAAGCTAAAAGAACATTATTTAAAATTCAAGATGGTATAACATATTGCTCTCACTCAACACATCTGTATTCCTAAAATGTTGTTCTCCTGTAGATGTCAATTCAGAATATCTTCATGTACCTTTATTTAAATAGAAAAACTAAAGCTAACCATTACAAATATATTGTCTTAACAATGAAGTCTATGTATATTTGATTTGCCTATATGATTCCTCTAAGGGTCCAATGAAATGGAAATAAGTATGATTCTGCATGACTTCAAAAGCACATATATCCTCATTTTTAAGAAGGGAGTTCATCTCTGTTTTGAGTTGGGCGTTCTGGTGAAAACTGAAAAACCTGCTAGACATATTCTAAAAGAGCTGTAACACCATGGAAGGGTTCATTTATTACTCATTTCTGTATCTAGACCTGAGCTCAGTGCATATCATATAATAGATGTTCAAATGGCTGGTTAATACTTTTTCAATTACAATGAAAATGCTGACACCACAAAGAGCTTAAAAATTTTAGCAGACACATTAGTTCTCTTTGAACTTAGTAAATTCCTACTTAAAACTGCCATATTCATTAGTTTGTTCATTCACATTGTTGTAAGCCTACTTTTCCAGACACTCTTTTAAGTTCTGAAAATTGTGATGAATAAGACATACAAGTTTCCTACCCCCACAGAATTTACAGGAGTGGAGTTTGTGGAGGGAAGGCAGAAATAAATTTCAGACACCAAAAACTGCTATATGATAGAAATAGTAACATTAATTGGATGGTGAGGGAAGTGCTCTCTAAATAATTACCACTTAAATGGATATGTGAAAAACAGCAAGAGTTCCCAGGAAAATGGAATCTCAAAACCAAAGATTTAGAAAAAAGTAAGATTGTTCAAGTAATGTTTGAGGCATACTCAACAAGGGGGAAAGGAGTGAAAAATAAGGGTAGAAAGAGGCAGAGGTCAGCTCATGTGGGGCCTTCTAGGCCTTGATAGAAAGGATGGGTTTTAGTAAGTTTTAATAACTAGATGAAATGCAGATTAATAAGGCATTTAAAGTAGCATAATTCTGTGGCATTTAGTACATTCACAATGTTATGTAACTACCACCTCACCTCTATCTAGTTCCAAAACATTTCATCACAACATAACTTTTAAGCAGTCACTCCCCATTCTTCCTTTCCCTCATCCCCTGGCAACCACTAATCTGCTTTCTTTCCCTGTGGATTTGCCTGTTCTGGGCATTTCATATAAATGAAATCCTAAAATATATGACCTTGTGTGTCTCGTTCTTAGAATGTTTTTGAGGTTCATCCCCATTGTAGCATGAATATATACTCCTTTCCTTTTATAGCTGAATAATATTCCACTGTATGGATATATACCACATTTTGTTTATTCATCATCAGTTGACAGCCATTTGTGTTGTTTCCACCTTTTGATTATTGTGAATAGTATTGTTGTGAACATTCTCATCCAAGTGTTTGTTCAATCTGTTTTCAATTCTGCTATATTTTAGATATTTATCCCTGCCCAAATCTCATGTTGAATTGTAATACCCAATGCTGGAGGTGGGGCCTGGTAGGATTTGTCTGGGTCATGGGAGTGGATCCCTCATGGTTTAGTGCTGCCTTCACAATAGTGAGTTCTCACAAGATCTGGTCATTTAAAACTGTGTGGCACCTGCCCCTGCAACTCACTCTCTTGCTTGCTCCTGCTTTTGCCATGTGACTTGCCTGCTTCCTCTTTACCTTCCACCATGACTGTAAGCTTCCTGAGGCCTCCCTAGAAGCCAAGCAGGTGCCAGCACCTTGCTTCCTGTAAAGCCTGCAGAACTGTGAGCCAATTAAATCTCTCTTATTTATAAATTACCCAGTCTCAGATATTTCTTTATATCAATGTAAGAATGGACTAATACAGAAAGTTGGTACGGAGGAGTGGGACATTGCTATAAAGGTACCTGAAAACGTGGAAGGTTTGGAACTAGTTAAGAGATTAGAAGAGTGGGCAGTGCTCAGAAAAAGAAAGATAAGGGAAAGCTTACAGCTTCTTAGAGACTGGTTAAGTGGTTGCTACCACAATGCTGATAGTGATATGGACAGTGAAGTCTCGGCTGAAGAGGTCTCAGATGGAAACGAGGAACTTACAAGGAACTGGAGCAGAGGTCACACATATTATGCCTTAGTGAAGAACTTGGATGCATTCTGTTCTTGCCCTAGGGATCTGCGGAAGTTTGGGCTTGAGAATGATGACCTAAGGTATCTGGTTGAAGAAATTTCTAAGCAGCAAAGTGTTCAAGAAATGACGTGGCTGCTTCTAACAGCCTATGTTCCCGTATGGGAGAAAGAAATGACTCAACATTGGAAATTATATTTAAACAGAAAATGGAGAGTAAAAGTTTTGAAAATTCGCAGCCTGGCTGTGTGGCAGAGAAAGAAAAAGCTATTTTGGAAGAGGAATTCAAGCAGGCTGTGGAGCAACCACTTACTAGAGATACTGGCATAACTAAAAGGGAACCAAGTGCTACTATCAAGACAATGGGGAAAAGGCCTCGAAGGCATTTCAGAGAACTTTCATTGCAGCCCCTACCACCAGGGGCCCAGCGGCCTAGGACGGAAGAATGGTGTGTGGGCCAGGCCCAGGACCCACTGTCCTGTGCAGCCTCAGGACACTGTTCCTTACATCCCTGCCTCCAGTTCCAACCTCAGCTCGAAGGGCCCCAGATACTGCTTATGCCACCACTCTGGAGAGCACAAGTCACCATAAACCTTGGTGGTTTCCACATAGTGTTAAGCCTACAGGTACACAGAGTGCAAGAGTGAATGAGGCTTGGTACCCTCCATCTAGATTTCAGAAGATGTATGAGAAGTGGGACATGGAGTTAAGAATTATTTTAGAGCTTTAAGATTTAATGACTACCCTGCTGGGTTTGGGACTTGCATGGTGCCTGTTGCCCCTTTCTTTTGGCTGATTTCTCCCTTTTGGAATGGTAGTATTTACCCAATGCCTATACTCTCATTGTATCTTGGAAGTAAATAACTTGCCTTTGATGTTACAGGCTCATGGGCGGAAGGGATTTATTTACCTTGTCTCAGATGAGACTTTGGACCTGGTACTTTTGAGTTGATGCTGGAATGAATTAAGACTTTGGGCGACTCTTGGGAAGGCATGGTTGTATATTACAACGTGAGACGGATATGAGATTTGGGAGGAGCCAGAAGTAGAATGATGTAGTTCAAATATTTGATCCCATCAAATCTCATGTTGAATTATCATCCCCAATGTGGGAGGCAGGGCCTGGTGGGAGGTGTTTGGGTAGGGGATGATCCCTCATTGCTTGATGCGTCTTCAAAATAGTGAGTGAGCTCTCATGAGATCTGGTCATTAAAAGTGTGAGGCACCTCCTCCTCTCTCCTTGTCTCTCTTCTCTTGCTTTCACCATATAACATGCCTGCCTCCTCTTCACTTTTCCCCATAAGCTCTGTGAGGCCTCCCTTGAAGGTAAGCAGATGTCAGCACCATGCTTCCCATAAAGCCTGCAGAACTACAAGCCAATTAAGCATCTATTATGTATAAATTATGCTGTATCAGGTATTTTACAGCAATGCAAAAGCAGACTAATACAAATTCATTTTGGCATATACCTAATAGAACTGCTGGGTCATACGGTAACTCTTATGTTTAACTTTTTGAGGAACCAACCAAACTGTTTTCCACTGTGGCTGCATTCTTTTACATTGCCCTAGAAATGTCCAAGAGTTCCAATTTCTCCACATCCTCACCAACATTTATTGTTTTTTTTTGATTCTAGGGATCCAAGTGGGGATAAAGTGGCATTTCATTATGGTATTGATTTACATTCCCTAATGACTAATCATGCTGAGTATCTTTCTATGTGCTTACTGGCCATTTGTAGGTCTTCTCTGAAAAAAATGCTTATTCAAGTCCTTTGGCCGTTTGTATTTGGGTTGTGTTTTGTTGTTTGGTTGTAACACTTCTTTATATATTTTGAATAGTAGACTCTCAAAGATATTTGCAAATATTTTCTCCCATTCTGTAGGGTGTCTTTCCACTTTTTGGGAGTGTCCTTTGATGCACAAAAGTTTTGAATTGTGCTGCAGTCCAATTTATCTAGTGTTTCTTCCATTGCTTATATCTATCATATTTAAGAATGCACTGCAAGATCCAAGGTCATCAAGATTGACTTCTGCATTTTTTCCTGAGTTTCAGAGTTTTAGCTCTTCCATGTAGGTCTCCAATCCATTAATTTTTGTATATGATATGAAGGTTCCATCCTCATTATATTGCATGTGTTTATCCAATTGTCCCAGAACAATTTAAGAAACTATACTTTCCCCCATGGAATGGTCTTATACCCTTGATGAAACTCAGGTGACCATAGATGGGTGGATTTATTTCTAGACACACGATTACATTCTGTTGGTCTATATGTCTATCATTATGCTAGTACCACATGATTTCGATAATGTAGGTTTGTCATAAATTTTGAATTTGGGAATTATGAGTTCTCTAACTTTATTCATTAAATTTTTTTGGTAATGCTGGGTCTCTTCCATTTTCATATGATTTTTAGGGTTAGCTTTTCCATTTCTGCAAGAAGGCCATTAGGATTTTGATATGGATTGTATTAAATCTGTAGTCTACTTCAGGGAGTACTGCCATTTTAACATATCAAATCTTCCAATCCATGACCATGGATTACCTTTCCACTTATTTAGGCCATCTTTAATTTCTTGCAACCATGTTTGTAGTTTTCAGTCTTATACCTCCCCTTGGTTAAATTTATTCCTAAAAATTTTAATCTTTTTGATGCTACTATAAAGGACATTGTTTTCTTAATTTCACTTTTGTATTGTTAATTTCTATTATATAGAAATACAACTGATTTTTCTGTTGATCTTGTATCTTGCAACTTTGCTGAATTTGTATTAGCCTCTAATGATTTTCTTGATTCTGTAGGATTTCTTATACATAAGATCAAATCACCTGTGAGAAGAAATAGTTTTGTTTCTCCCATTCCCACTTGGATATCTTTTTCTTTTTCTTGCATAATTTCTAGATCTAGCTAGAACTTCTAGTACAATATTGAATACAAGCAGTGAAAGCAGGCATCCCTGTCTTGTTCCTGGTCTTGGCAGGGCAGGGGGGCTTTTAGTCTTTCCCCATTGAGTATTATGTAAGCTATATGGTTTTCATTTATACTCTATCATGTTTTGGCATTTCCCTTCTATTTCCAGTTTTTTGAGTGTTATTATAAAAGGATATTGGATTTTGTCAAATGCTTTTTGTGCATCAGTTCCAATAAGAATGTTTCTTTTTCGTCTCTCATTCTATTGATATGGTATATTACATTCATCTTCATATGTTGAGCCACCCTTGCTTGGCTGGGATAAATCCATTTGGTCATGGTATGGAATGCTTTTAATGTGCAGCTAGATTTGGTTTGTTGAGGGTTTATGCATCTATATTCATAGAGAATATTTGTGTAATGACACCATTGTATGGTTTGATATTACAAGGTGATAGTGGCCTCATAAAATGAGTTTGGAATGTCCTCTCTTCTTCTGTTTTCTGAAAGAATTTAAGAAGGACTGGGCAGGGCATGGTGACTCAAACCTGTAATTCCAGTTGGGAAGCCAAAGCAGGAGGACTGCTTGAGGCCAGCATAGGATACACACAGCAAGACCCCGTTCTCTACAAAATATTAAATAGCTGAGCATAGTGGCACATTCCTAGAGTCCTAAGCTTACTTAGGAGGCTGAGGCAGGAAGATCACTTGAGCCCAGGAGTTTGAGGTTACAGTGAGCTAAGATCAGACCACCGTATTCCAGTCTGGGTGACAGAGTGGGACTCTGTCTCTAAAAAAAAAAAAAAAAATAACTGGCATTATTTAAATTATAGAATTCTTTGTTGGAAGGTTTTCAATGACTAATTCAACCTCTTTACATGTTATTGGTCTGTTGATAATTTTTATTTCTTCTTGAGTCAGTGTTGGTAATTTGTTTTTAGGAATTTATCGATGTCATCTAGGTTAAAATTTATTGGCATATAATTGTTCATAGTATTCTAGAATCCTTTTTATTTCTGAAATTTCAGTAGTCATGTCCCTTTCATTTATCATATTAGAAATTTGAGTCTTCTGTTTAACTTAGTCTGCTAAAGGTTTATTTTCTTGATCTTTTCAGAGGACCAAATTTTGTTTTTATTGATTTTCTGTGTTGTTTTTCTATTCTGTTTATCTCTGATTTAGTCTTCATTATTTCATCGATTCTGACAGCTTTAAATTTTTCTAGTTCTTTAAGGTATAAAGTTATTGATTTGATACCTTTTTTCCTGTTTATTGTAGGTGCTTACAGCTATAAACATCCCTCTGAGCACTGCTTTCAACGGATCACATGTTTTGGTATGTTGCATTTTCATTTGCCAAAGTATTTTCTAATTTCCCTTATGAGTTGTCCCTTGACCCACTGGTTGAGAGTGTGTGTCACTGGAGAGTTTTAGGTAAGGGAGTGACATGGTATGATTTATGCTTTAGCAAGACAATGTTGGCTGCTAAGTGAAAAAAGTATGGATGGGAAAGTATAAATGCTGAAAAGCCATTTAAGTGGCTGTTGAAATTGTCTATGTGAGAAATGATATCGACATTGTCACAGAGACAGTGGAAGTGGCAGAAAGTATTCACATGTGGGTCACATTCTGGCAGTAAAATCTATAGGAATTGTTGATCAATTTACTGTTTGTTATGTTTTGGTTTGAATAGTTGGGTAGTTAAAAGTAATTTTATTGAGATAGGAAGACAAAGTTTACTTTTTCTTTGATGAAGAGAAAGAATGGTGAGACAAATCGAGTTGTTTTGAGAGTTTAGATTCTTATTCGAAGTGTCAATACAGCAGTATTTATAATGTTCTGATGTCCAAAGTGAAGGTCAGAACTTTTATAAATTTGAGATCAACACAGAAATAGTTATTATATGGGACTAGATGAAATTACTGAAGGTGAAAGCACTGACTGAGGAAAAGAAAGAGACTAGGAACGAACCCAAGGAAAAGACATAGAAGAGTAGCAAATACGTGCCAACAGAGGGTTTTAAGTGTGAAATGCCACTGAGAGGCTAAGTAAAAAGAGATTAGATTTGGCAACATAAATGACTGTTGATTATAAAAGTAGTTTTGATGAAATAGTATGCGCAGAGCTGCATTGAGGAAACAAAGCAAAGAAGTTGAGATAGTAACCTGAGAAGATTACTCTGATATGTTCTCTGTAAAAATGAATAGATAATTATATGGGTAGGGCAGTGGTTTCAGGAGAACTTGATGTCAATGGAAGGCCTTAACACGGACTGTAAAAATCAGGAGAGGAAAAATCAAAGATAGTGGGATTCAAAGCACTAGTAGGGTGATTGTTCTTAAATAAACAAATTTGCTATTGGACTGAAAGAGAAATCAGAAAATGCTGGTATTGATGCAGGAAACATGTTAGATTTTAGGGTAAAGATGAGAAAATGAGGTGAGACAATCAGCTCAAAGGTAAAGAATCAAGGAAAGAGATATTTATATGCAATAGTACTCTGGAAATGTGGTAAAGTCAATTAAAGAGAGCAAAGATTGTTGAGTACCCAATTTGAAGTACGTGGCCATAAATGTAAAGCCTGATTGTATTCTCTTCTCCTGTGCTGTTCAATTGGTAGAATGACAGCTAAGAATTAGTGGATAAGGTTGACAGGAAGAGAAAGGGCAAGAGTATTATTTTGAACTATGGCATCTAGAATGGGTAAGGAAGGAAGGACAGACAAGAAGGTAACAGGCATAGGGAAAAAGTATAAATAGCTTGAGACTACTATACAAAGCAAGTTGGAAAGATAGGCTGGAGTGATAAGAATGTTGGAAATTGAGATTTAGAGGGGCACAATTGCTGGTAATGACAGGATTTTAGAAGAGTTGGAAAGAATAAAGAACCTGGGATGGATTACACATATAGTACAGTATTGAAATAAGTATGAGGTATGATTTAGGAGTCTTGGAAATTTGGCTGACGATGAGGTAAACAGGGTGATAAGACATGATGGAATTAGTCTCACAGGGCAACATGGATTTGCAAGTCCTGAGTGGTATTTAATATTATAACAGCTGTCACTCTCTTAAAATAGCAACCCCACTGCCCTATCAATAAATCTTAGCTGATGCTAATAATTGCATAAAGCTGACTAAAATGAGAGGGTTTTAAGAGGCCAGGTTTCCCACTGTATTTAATTACTGGTATTATTTTTGAATAATACTCTGCTACCATTAAGTAGACAAGGGATAGTAAGGCTACTTAGTATTACACTTTGGATCAAATAAATATCCTTCTTCAGATACCCAATGTTCACAAAATAGGAATATAATGATTTATATTTATTCAAGTGACATAAGCTTTTATTTCAACTTCATTAAAAGCAAATCAAACGTGTACTCATTTTTATAAATTAATCTAGCAAGATATTACAACGACTACTAGATTAAAAGTATTTGTCAAACAGCCTGCTTATGAAATAGGACTTCTATATTGAATTAACATATTTAGGCAACGTAGTAGCTTTTTTAGGCCAGAGCCATAACCGAATAAATGTTTCTAACAGTGTGCTGAAAGTACTGATCTACCACTCAGGTATACATTTTAAATTAGGGACTTCCTCCCCCTTGTAAGTGTGGCTAAATTTTTATTAGTTGAATTCTAAGCTATTAAACATTTTAATTATATTCATCCCCAAACTGCATTGATTCAAAAACACATTTTATGTAATAATACATTTTACACAATAAAATTTAATTAAACTCATTTTATGAGCATAATTAACTCAAAAAGTTTCTTGAAGCTTTCATCTCCAAAATTAAAAAATAATAGTGTATAGACAGAAGTTTTCTGGGCTTGGAGTCATGTTATAGTGGGTCTTTCTCATCCATTAAAAGACTTTTTTTTTATTTTGAGGGTTCCTATAAAGGGTACACTTGCTTGGGTAACATGTATATTTTTCTCTTTGTAGGACTACTCTTATTTCCTCAGTTATACACAGATAAGAATAATTAGATAAAATATGTTGATTAAACTAGATTTCACACATTAACATTTTTTTCATGAGACATGAATACTGACATCAGTTCTCTGCGTACATTAAGAAGCTCCTCTTCTAGCTATGGCCAAGAAAAAAAAAATCACACTTAGAAAAAAATTCAAGCTGTTATAAAACAACTTCTTTCATGAAGATATTGCATTCTAACAGATCTATATCTCGATATCTACAGAATTCTGTGATTACTGATATTCGAGACAATCAGTTGAGAGAAGGCTCTAATCTTTTAAAGCCCCAAATTAATGAAACTTAGATTCAATTTTTAAAGGAAGAGAGTAAAATAAAAAGTCTAGAAAACAATTTCAACAAAGATCAACCTAGTTAAGTAGTTTCTTTTTTGCTTGAAGCTAAACTAGCTTAGCCACAACATCTTGATCCCGTACTATGTCAGCATATTGAGGTTCTATTAAAACTTTGTAAGTACATTAATATACTGTGTATACAAAGATCAGTGTACTTAAAAATGCCTTACATCTTTGAGAAAACTCCAAAGACATTATCACTTAAAGCAGTACCTTTAGTCCATTTCCCAGGTCCATGTTTCCACCCCAGAATGCAGCTGCTGGTCTGCTAGGCCATTGGAAAGTAAACTAATTTTATCCTCAAATCTAAGTAAATGACATCTTGTCCAAAGAGACAATAATTCTTCTACTAAACTATAGACTTTTTGGGAGTTTTGTCCTGCCATATTTTCTCCTTCAGAAGACAGAGCAGGACAGAGGCCTGCTGCAGTACACAGTGTTTAGAAACTGCAAACGAGTCATTCTTTCAGCCAATTTTTCAATTTGCAAATTGATATTCTCTTTTATTCCTTAGGAGGGCCTGTTTAAATTACGCCTATTCTTTCATATAAATATGCTCCCATTATTTAAAGAACTAAAAGTAATTGGGCTAAAACCATCTTCTCTCAACCCAAAAAGAAAAAGACATAAAAGCAGAAACAAAAAAAATCAAAAACAAAAGTCATTAAAGTATGATTATTTCATTTTCAAACTTAGTTGACTTACCATGTCCTTAAGAAGCCTGTCTTGCAGCACTTTCATATCTTCTTTCATCAAACACATCTGTAAAAAAGTAAATATATTTCACCCAGGAAATTTACCATAAAGTTTTCACAGCAAAGACAAAGTTAGATTAACAAATTCTTTTTGTAATCAAGAAAGGTTACCTATAAAAAGCATAAAATGTATACCTCAGATGTAAAAATAGTTTCTTCATTATCAGTAGTACAGAAGACACTTTTAGCCAATGAAGTTTTCAAAAGATGAAGCCTAACAAGTAAAATAATGAGAGTTAACTTTGTATTTATCAATAATTAAAATTAGAGTGCTATAATATAGTATTCATAAGTTTTCAAATAGAAATGTATTAATTTAAAAATCTAATTTCATAGATTATAGTCATTAAGAATGTCATACTAACCTCTGTTGTTCACTTTTTTGATATACACTGAACTTCTGAAATATCTTTTCCCAAAAGTCCTACATTGTAAGGTATAAAATCCAGTTAAACTTTAATATTATTAAAAATTAAAATCCAACAGTAGAATTACTCTATTTCTATTATTACAAATTTAAACAAACAGTATGGCTACATGTTAAGAATATTCCAGATGTCACACGCTCTTTCAAGTTAAAATAAACTTGAAAGTAAAATCTCTCAAGATTTCTCATTTATTATCAAAGATATTAATCATAAATTTAAGTTTGTACTTCAAAACTAAGATAAAACTAAATTATTTTCTGAACAAAAAGCTTTAGGATGTGCTCCCAAAAAAGAAAGTTTTTCCAAGTATAGCTCTTTACAAACAAGGTTTTAAACTTATTTAAAAATTTTTAAAAGTAACAAACCACAAATTCCTTTTCCAAATCTTTTAAAGACTGTGAATCTTTTTCAAAATTCTCCAGCTCCTCTATGATAATGAATTGGAATTTATCAAGTTTTTTAATCCTATTACAGAAACAAAATGAGATTAATTTTAAAAACTGTAGCATTCAGAATATGTAGCATTCAAAAGTTTTCAGAACAGATTTGTATTACAGACCTAGAGTCCTGACTTTGATGATTCATTGTTCTCAGATGTTGTTGGGCTGTTTTCCAAGACTGCGTAGTAAAATAACTCAACATTTTATGTCGGATCTGAAAAATACTCATTTTAAACTTAAAATATCTTTACAAAATAACAATATAACCAAGAGTACAGTAAGAGCAAATCATTTTCCATGAAATGTAAATTACTAAGGACTTGAAAAAGTGAAAAATTTAAAAACACAGTTATTTAAACTGAAGTGTTAATAGACACTGCTCTGAGTGAACTTACTTAACTCCATCAGTAGGTCTTTGACTAAGGGTTGAATTACTCCTCAACTGTTTTCATAAGAACACCATACTCTACAGTATTTACCAAAATGCTGATGGTCATAATTCTCTTCAAAGACACAGCCTAAAAGTCACACTTAGAATTTTTTAAAACCATTTTTTTTCACAAAAACATATATTCTAATATGTGTCTGTAGCTACATTTGAATATATAAGTCAAAGCTTCTCTATTCAGATTAGGTTGACCTTGGGCAAGGAAAAAAAAAAAAAAGAAAAGAAAAAACAAGCAAATTCTAATTTTAACCCTGAATATAGAAGAAAGGAAAGCAAGATTGCAGGGGCGAGGGGGTTGGGGTTGATAACCTGTGCCATAAAAATCTTTTATTCAAAGGAGGGCATAAAAAGCTATCGATTTCAAATAGAGGCATGTGAAAGAGATAGGCGGAAAAATATTACCAATAATTAAAAATTGTTTTAAAAAGCATTTTTGCATTATCTCACTGGAACCTCAAAAACTAACACTACATTACATAAGTATAATACAGAACTAGTAAAATGAAGTGAGATGGTATTTCTCTGACTGCAGCTGCTCATTCTTTATACTACACTATACTACCTTCATTAATGGTCACCTCCATGAGATAAAAAATGTCTTGAAAAGTGGCATGAAAAGAAAACTGTCCAGTAAAAAAAGAAAAATCATAGAAAAGCCAAAACATTAAATTGAAAAGGAAAATAGGACAAAAGAGAAAAAAGTAGTAGCAAAAGAAAGAATATGGATAATATACAGATTTTATTCCAATTATTCACGTATAAGGAAAGTTGGTTTCATGAATGGATATTTTGTTGCCAAAGGATCCAACAAGCCAATGGTCTAGTTGAAAGTGTGGCATATTATTATATTATTGGGTATAAATCATAATTTAAAGAATAACTCACATTATTCCTTCTCTTAAATTCTGAATTGAGCCTCTCATAAGTCTCATAAGTCATCTCTATACCTGCAAATTCATTTTGCCAGGTCTCCCAAGGAATAGAAAAGTCATTTGTTGATAATGAAGATATACTTTCAGACACTAAAAAATAAAAACAATCTGCTGAAGTTAAAATATGCATTACTGTAAATTTAGCCTTGTAATTAGGCTAAGAACAAAATCTATCTTATTTTCTGAATCTATGTGAAACCTACGGATTATGAAATCAAAGGCAGAAGAGTTCCTTCTGTTTTTTTAATTTAAAAAGGAGATTATTCTGATTTATAAAACAAACTTTTTGGTATGGCTTGATTACAGCAGAAATGACTACTTTAAGCTGGAACATTTATGGATTATTTTTTAACTGCTTTTTAACTAGTTCCACATTATTGTTAAGTATTTAATGAGGTACTAGCACATCAGTAAATTCATACTCTAGTAAAACCTAAATGTGATAAGTGATAGAATGATGAGGGAGATCCATGGGTATATAAGACCCTTACTACAACAATTATTCATATAAATGTGAACTTTGCAATAAAGCATCATCCATCTTGGACATATCTGAAGTTGTCTTTACAAATTTGTTTTGTAAATAGACTCATTCAAAATATAAGAACCACCTTCCAAATAACTGCATTTTGATACAGGCTACTGATCTACCTACTTTTGTGGATATGATGATCTGCATCTTCAATTTTACACAGTTTTTTGGGAAGTAAGTTTGCTCTCCTTTCTCCTTTCTCTTCCATTTCTACTTCATTGGAATTACTCAGATTATCTTCTATGTATATCCGTTTGCGACTAAGATGTTGAGTGGGGCCTTAGGAACAGTTAAAGAAAGTTAAAAGTGCTACAATTTTCATTAAAAATACCTAATATTTTCTTGCTTTTATTTTAAAAAGCCTTTGTTTCCACTAAGTATTTTTATTATGTTTTAGGTAATTATGCATTCAATTCTACCTAGTTTACTTATTTTCTTTTTCCATTAAGTTGAATAATGGTATGACTTAAAAATACAAAATTTCTTTAGATGAAATGTCATGCAGCATTTCAGTAATCATTTTTTAAAAAGCAAGACTACGACTACAAACCTGATACATGAGTAGCATCACAGGGCATGTCAAACCACATTTTCTCTCTTCCTTCACTAGACTTGGATAATGAAGATGCTGAATGACTTTCCTAAAATATGTATTAGAAATTAGAAAATAATTCTGTAAATATGTTTCGATTCACATTTCATCATCTTTCTCAAACCCAAAAGCCAATAATTTTAAATACTGTCAATTATTTCTCAGATTGTTTCTATCCCTTCCTTTTCATCTCTAATATTTACCATGTGTTAACCTTGATTCTAAGTTGACCTCAATCTTCTTGTAATAGCTGTGATGTAAGCTACTTTTTTTTCTATTCCTGCTTTTCATTTCGTTGAGTCAGGAAATGAGGAGCCACAGAAAACTAAAGTTTAAACTATTCTTTCAAACCACATCTTTCACATCTAACCTTATGTTATACTATTTAAATATACAGGTTTTTTTTTACTTTGTAACCTTTACATAGGTTACTGATTTTTCTTCACTTAATCTACATATACCTACCCATCCACTTAGGTCTACCTCAAATCCCAGCCCTCTCCAAGTTGTAAAATTCTGTCTTGATTTTCTGTATTTTACAGGTTTTTAAAATATTTTTATTGATGGATGGATGGGCTTTTATGGTGGCAGGAAGTTCAACCAAATACCTATATATTCATGAAACCAGAAAGTGCCAATTATAAATATGCAATCCGGAGTTAAGCAGTGATATCCTCACTATTTAAGACCTTACTACTCCCATTTTAAAAGTTTCAACTTTCTTCTATCAAAAAATATTTTTCTATGATCAAGCCATTCTATATACTTTGAAAATCAGATTTGCAGGTAATAACAGTTGAAAGGCATTAAAATATTATAATTACCACTAAAGGTCAGTAATCTGAGTCTTACAAGAACCACTGTAGTTTAAGGAAAATTTATAAGTTATAGTACCATACTTACCTCTCTTTTGCTTTGTATATAATTTTCATTGATATTTGGAGATTCAATTTCCATAAACCGTTTTTCTGAACTATAACTGCTTACATCTGAATAGCTGTTATGGTTTTGTGTTTCTTGTGTAAGTACCAGAGAACTTTTTTTTTTTCTATTTACAATAGTATTACTCTTAGTTGGAGTATGTCTGGGCTATGAATGAAGACATACAAAAACCCAAAAGTAGTTACAAAATTGTTCAAAGCCCCCCCTCAAAAAGAGTTGAACATAAACATAATAAAAAACATTAAAGCAAAACTTCAAAACTACCTAATTCCCTGCAAAAATTCAATTTCAATTCATAACTAAAAATAAAAAATCCTTAGGCAAGTAGATTATTACTTTGATGACCAAAACCTGTAGATAAGGATCCCTGCTAGTACAGTTTCTATGCTCCAGAGGTCAAAGTCACCTTAACAAGAACATGAATAAGAATTTTTTTTTTGCATTTTCTGTTCCAGTCTTCATGTGTAACAGTTTATATGGCTGTCTATACAGAAAAGCCAAGAGAATCTAGGCAATTATGATAAAATTCAGCAAGGTTGTTGGAGATAAAACAACCAATAGTTTTTCTATATAAAAATTTTAAAACTCAGAAAATATAATTTTAAAAAACGGTCTGATTTTTTTAAATACAGCAAAAAGAAGACCCATAAGATACTTAAGAATTAATCCAACAAGGTGCATAATTTCCTTTGTAGAAGACTTTGCCCAACTTTGTAGGAAATAAGATGAAAAACTGGAGAGATAAATGATGTTTAGCTAAGAAAGATCAACATCAATATTGAAAAATGGCAATTCTTCCCTTAGACAAATGAATTCTAAAATGTATATGAATCAGTAAAGGGCCAAAAGAATTCTGAAGAATGGTGGGGCAGGGGGTATGTGACACCCTATAAATGTAAAATGACCCTAATTAAAGCAATGGTGGCATTAGCACAGAGACAGATAAACAGGCCAGTAAACAGTAAAATCTAATAGTGCCAAATCCAGGCCCATGTGATCACCGGCCTATGACTAAATTAAGATTATTCCACTCCTGATGTTGCACTAATTTGATATCCATATGAAAAAGAAAGCCTGGAGAGACTCAAACCTAAAATTTAAAAATCAAAACTAATATTTTTATAAGAAAATATTTTGTGACAATAGCTTAGGGGAAGATTTCTTGAACAACCCAAAAGATTGGTAAATTTGATTATATCCTATCTTTTGTCATAGGGAAGTTGTGTAATTAAGTGAAAAGAATGTTTACATCATATACAACAAATAAAGAATATCCAGAATATATTAAGAACTCATACAAATTTGTAAGAAAAATCAAACAGTGCAATTTAAAAATAAGAAAACAGGGAATTCACAAAATGGCCAAAATCATGTGAAAATACTCATTGATGCCATGAGTCAGGAAAATGCCAATTAAAGACATAACTTTATGCTTACCAGACTGGCAAAAACAGAAACATCTGATAACACCTAGTTAGTTAAAACTGTAGAGAAATGAGCACTATCTCATAGTGTTGAGAGTGTAAGCAGGTTCAACTACTGCATAAAGCAAATTTCCAACACCTTATTAAGAGTTGACAGTAAAGGGGAAGCATGGGGGGAATGTCTCATGAGTGTCCAGCCAATGAATATAACTATTAAAATTCCATCTAATGCAGAGTAGCATCAAAGATGATGGGTGGGGATTACCTAGGTTTGGAGATTTTGCAAGGTGGCACACTGACAGGATTAAAGGATGTGGGGCAAATGAGAATGACAGAAACACTGGGATTGGTTCTAGGACCTCCTGTGGATATCAAAATCAGAAGATGTTCAAATCTGTGATACAAAATGGTTCAGTATTTGCATATAACCTATACACATCCTCCCATATACATAAGTAATCTCTAAATTACTTATGCTACCCTAATGCAATGTAAATACTCTTAAATAGTTGTTATATGTATTGTTTAGGAAATGGTGACAAGAAAAATAGTCTGTACGTGTTCAATACAGACACAGTTAAAAATATATAGTGTTGTCTGTGGTTGAAAATCCACAGATGTGGAACCCACAGATATGGAGGGCCGACTATATTGATAAAGGATCACAGGAGAATTTGTGTGAATTTCACTAGTGTGAAAATGGGTTTCAAATTGTGGTCTGTAGAAACTCAGTTTTGAAAATATGCCTTGGGGATTATTTGAGGGAAGGAGGTGAGGGAGACTAGGTAGATCTAGCGTTTAGATCTCCTACCTCGACTTTAAACAGCATAGTTCCACTTTTATCTGTCTGGCACACAATGGTCCCCCTTAGCTGCAGTTTTGCTTTCCATGGTTTCAATAACTCATGCTCAACCGTAGCCCAAAAATATTAAATGAAAAATTCCAGAAATCATTTATAAGTTTCAAATTGTGCACCATTCTGTGTGGTGCCATGAAATCTCTGGCCGTCCTGCTGTCCTGCCTGGGATATGAAAATCATCACTTTGTCCAGCATATCTATGCTGTATATGCTACCTGCCTGTTAGTCAAGTAATAGCCATCTCAGTTATCAGATTGACTAGAGATATTGCAGTGCTCAAGTAACCCTTATTTTACTAAATAATGGCCCCCAAAAGCAAGAGTAGTGATGCTGTATTGTTATAGTTGTTCTGTTTTGTCATTGTAATAACTTATAAATTGCATATTTATAAGTTAATGTATAAATTAAACAATCATAGGTATGTATGTATAGGAAAAAAAGATAGCATATATAGGGTTCAGTACTATCCTCCATTTCAGGCATCCATTGGGGGAGGGGGGTCTTGGAACGTATTCCCTGAGAATAAGGGGTGATTACTATACAGAATACAGATAAGAGTTTTGTAGTAGGAATGATCACTTCCTAAGAGATACTACTAATTGTTCTACACATTAGAACTACACACATTTTCTAGATCTGAATATGCTTATTCCTGCAATGCAGGCACTTCTTTCAGATTTCACCATAAAGTCTATGGCCTTTAATAACCTTTAGTTACAAAAATTACATGTTGACAAAGTAAATGGACAATTTAGTTGAAAACAGTGTAATTACAATATTTGGTTTAGGTGTTTATAAGGAAGTTTAACAGGTAAATGGCAGGAATATAAAAAGTAAATATATGTTGAAAAAATTTCTTCATTCTTCCTCATCTATGTATCAAATTATATGTACTATTTCTTCTTAAAATATAGTAGACCCTTCTGAAACCATGGATAGTACGTAACCCTATTATACTATGCACAAATTTCTTTTTCCTAATTTCATAGAAAGAAGATTCATTCTTACCATAGATCTTAGCAACTTCGACATACCTTATTTTTGGTTCCTTATTAAGCACAGACTATTCACCGTTTCACTTAAAGGAATATTTTATGGCTTTTCTTTGGCCCATCTGAATTGTCAGCATCAATACTCTTGCCCTTTGGCGGTATTGTTAAGTAAAATAAGGGTTACTTTAACACAAGCACTGCAATACATCTACATTTGATCTGATCACCAAGATGGCTACTATGTGACTAACAGGCAGGTAGGGTATACAGCATGGATACACTGGACAAAGGGTTGATTCACGTCCCAGGAGGGACAGAATGGATGGCTCAAGATTTCATCACCCTATTCAGAATGGCACACAATGTTAAACATATAAATTGTTTATTTCTGCAATTTCTTATTTAATATTATCAGACCACAGTTGACTGTAGGTAACTGAAACCTCAAAAAGTGAAACCACAGATAATAAGAAACTACTGTACTCTCCTGCTACCACATTCTTCCTCCTGTATAGCTACATATTTATTTTTTGTTAGGTTCATCAAGACTGGCAACTCTCTCTCTCTTGTTATTATGTCCCTCTCCCCCAAGACCCTAGACCAAACCCAAAACCTTAAATAGACAAGCAATGTGTATCCGATTAAGATAGGGAAAATGACTTACTACCTTCAGATATATCTGATAAAGAAAAAAATATATATACATTCTCACCAAAAACAGTGGTCGTGGAATTGGTGAACAACTTTCACTTGCACACAGGAAGTTTTTCTCATTGTTTTTGGGTGACTTTATTGTACCTCCAACTCCACTGTTACTATTTAAGGATTCAAGTGATGAAGTTTTTGGATAAGGTGATATAGATTTTGTTATGCAGTCATAATCCTGAGTAAAATCCTTTTCCGTTATTTTCTCTACACCTACATTGCATCAAAAAACACAAGAAAACAGATGGCAAGCGCTATCATTGATGTCTGCTTTAGAAATAGCATGATCAATTTAAATTCTAAGAATATAAAGATTTGTCAAATCTTCAAATCTTGGCTATAAAAAAGGATACCTTTAAAAAAAAACCAAGTTATATTTCAAATATTTATAAGACTGAAAAACAATAATGGCTGAATTTAAAATATACTTGTAACCACAAGAACTTTCAAAACATTTTCCAATAAAAATATCTACAGTATGACCTGAAATATAAGGATCAACCTAATTATTATCTTGAGTATTTTGACATCATAGCTGACAGTGTTGTATATTAATGTAACAAAATTTTATCATTGAAAAAGAAATCATCTGCTCTACATCTTTCACATAAAAATTAATATAAATAAATCCTCAGACAATTTTCAGATCAAATCAGGGCATGTACATCTGTCTTCTAAGTATGTGCTTATGTGAAATTTTATAGTGGTCCTTAGTACTGAGAACACAATAGCTACTTTAGCGGAAGCAGAAGTATACTAACTGATTTAAGTCTTGCATTTTAACTGAAATGATTAGCATTTAGAAATGCTTTAAAATGTCCTTGCAAGGAAACAAAAATGGTTAAAAAGGGCAAGGTTATACTTTCTATACTAGTAGGCATACACATATACCAGAGCTCCAAAGAATATGAATTTTTCTTTGCCAATTATTTAAAAGTAAAAGCAAAACCTCAACTGTATACAGTATTAATCCACTGTGGGTCCAAGATATTCCTTGGACTTTTGTCAATGAAATATAAATAGAAAAAACAGAATTATCCATAAATTCTCATGTTATTAAATATATATTGAGCTAAAAAAGCACATTAAAATTAAGTATTTAAGATTTCAAGTTATAATTTGTGACTAAATATTTTCCACATTAAAGCATTTGATCTTTAACTTCCTAACATGAAAAACTTCAGTATCCTAGTAGCATTGTTCCCATGTTATCAAAAGTCAAGTTACTAGTATTAACTAGCTTAACAATGAAGTTTAAGTACTATAATCACAAATGCCCCTCAAAATTGTATTTTCCTATAATTAAAGTTATTACTGACCTCTCGTTACTTCTATAGATGATGGACTGCCAGATAAAGATCTAGGAGATAAGTCAAGGCAATTATCTCGTATAGTATCTTTTAGTAGACATGAGTTTTTCCAGTGTTTTGATAGTTCCTTTTCTGTTTCAGCACGGAAGACTTTCTGTTGTTTCTTTGGTAGCTTTACGGTTTTCATTCTGGAACGGATATTCTCCTCCTAAATGTATCAATAACTTTCAAATTATACTCAAGTACAAATATTTACACTTGGACACATAAAACAAATTATATTCAATTATTTATTAAAGGTTGTATATTACCACATACAGGTATAACAAGGACCTAGATATGAGTAGTGAAAGACTTTCTAATATACTAGAAGCCATAAGACGAATTCCCAGGAGAATATAATTTACTATAATAAATATCTTAAGAGATACAAATAGCCTTCTTTGAGGGTTCAAAGAAGATTAGCCCAGTTACTAGGCAGACTGAGGCAGGAGAATCACTTGAACACTGGAGGCAGAGGTTGCAGTGAGCCAAGATCACACCACTGCACTCCAGCCCAGTGACAGAGCGAGGTTGTGTCTCAAAAAAAAAAAAAAAAAAAAAAAAAAAAAAAAAAAAAAAAAAAAAGTGATAGAAAATTAGGAAATCTTTAAAGTCTTTTGGGTAAGAGATAACAAGATTGCGAACAAGAAGAGATGGAAGTTTATGATGCTAAATCAGCACACTGTACTGGTCAGAAACCTATCTTTAGTGCCAGACTCTCTGGTTTCAAATCCTAGATCTACCACTTCCTAGCTGTGTGACCTTGAGCAAGCTCCTTCTCTCTGAGCCTCAATTTCCTCAGTTGTAAAATGGGATGACAGTAATAGTACTAATTACCTATAGTACCTATGAGATTTTAAGACATTAAATCTGTAAAGAACTTAATATAGCAGCTGGCACATTGTAAGCACTATATATATTTATATACTATACACATACACTATATGTGTATATGTACAGTGGTTACTATATATAGTGATATATGTAAGTATATATATTTTTCCCATAATTGGAGTTACAGAAAACTATTGAATATTGACGAAAAAATGAAATTATACTGACATCTCATTACTTCTATAGATGATGGACTGCCAGACAAATAAATAACTTTGCTTTCAAGAACAGGTGACTGGGAAAGTGTCTGGACATTATGAGACATAAGAAAGAAGTCAGGGATGGTGACAGGTGAGCCAGTGTGTGAGAAGAACCTCAGACACCAATATTTTGCTTTCACTCAACAGATGGACAACTTCTCCAGGCTATACTTTATTAAAGCCTAATTTTAGAAGATTAAGTACTTCTCCATTTCAAAGATAATATCATAAGGTTATAATTTCACTAGATGCAGACATCTGTTTTATAACAAAAATGCCAACTATTGCCTAAGGGCAAATTTCTAGAATTATTAAATTTTGTCACATAGGAAGTTAACTCTTAAGAAGTAACAAGATAAATTTGACATTTTTTACAAAAAGATATGTTTAATATTTTAAGAGGCTTTTAGAAATTAATCTGAACTGTATTTACCTTTACTAGCAAGTTCTCTTTAAATGAATGTGAAAATTCTTGTTCACACTCTGATTCTGAATTTGAGAGATCTTTATAATTTTTTTTTGTTTTGGTTGCTTTTCGTGGAAGTCTGATCCTTCCTTCCGGAACTGTCTTGTCCATCTTTTTGGTGATATTTTTACTGGGTATCTTTAGGAAAAAAATTCCTGAATATTATTAGATCAATATCTGAGGCACAAGAAATACAAGCAATTTGCTATAAAATTGGCACTGTGACAAGCTTTACGTAAAATATTTGTAAGAATGATTTTTGATTAACATACTTTAAATTAATGGATTTTATCTTCCCATTCCAGTTACCTTCTTTACCATGCTCTGTATCCCTACCATTAAATCCCTGAGAAGCCTGATATATACTATCTAACTGAAGTAAAAGAGATTTTAAAAAATATCTAAAAGCACAGAATAAAATGGAGTCAAATAAAGCCAAAGTGATTTAAAAAGAAACAAGTCAGGAGAAAGTGTGCAAAAGGAGGAACAAGTACATAAAACACATAACTGATAAGAATAAAATTATGAGATAATGAATTATTTTCATATGACAAGAAAAAGTAATTGTAAAGGGATGTTTGAACACAAATTTCTTGGCTTACCATTTTAGAGCTTGGTTGTCCCTTTTCCAAGGATGATCCTGCAATTCAGAAAAATAAGGTTAAATTTTCACAGTAGATAAGAATGGGCATTAAATTTATGAGAACATCATTTCAGCATATTTAAATTAAAATAATAAAAACAGTAAGTTTTTAAAGCATTTGTTAGCATTTAATAAATGAACCTCCATGTGGCTTCAGGCCACCAGGATACCAGCCCTCCTGACACCATAATCTTCTCCTCACCATAATCTTCTCCTCACCCCTTCTGCTGAAGAATCTGGCCTCACAATGATACACTACTTTGGAAGCTTTTCCTTTCCCAGAACTTTTTAGTAGCCCAACTGCACCACATCTCTGATTGGCACCATCTTTAAACTCATCCAAAAATGTAATTTTCAAGAATTGATAACTTTTACTGTATAGTGTTTGGTATGATATGAATTGCCAGTTTTCCTCCCACTCCTTTATTTTATAGAACTTTTTAAACATACAAGAGAATATGTCAACATAAGTTATAAAGTTAACACCTATAAATCTACCACTCAATTTAAGAACCAGATTGTGGATAATGCTGAATCTACTTACATATGCTCTCTTATACCATCCTCTGTGTCCCTTCTGCCAAAAGGTAATTACTGTCCTGAAATCTGCAGGTCTTAGTTACTTGCTTTAAAAACAAGTGTTATTACACAGATATATATCTCTAAACAATATAATGAGATTTATAAAATATCACGTCCTGTATAATATCCTATGATTTATTTTCCATACATCACTATGTTAATAAGATTTATCCATATTATTGATAGCAGCTTTAGTCCCACTTCCCTTTTTTGCCTTTCAAATATCTTTCCAAATAGTCTCTGAAACCTAAGAAATGAGATTATCCAAGCAAAGGAAGCAAAGCTGTTTTGGAAGAAAGGTCCTCTAATCTTGGCAATAAGTCAACTCAAACACATTAACTTGTAGTCGTTCAATAATTTAAACAAAAGAATTCATACAGAATTTCAATTTCATAAATATTTAGTGATGACAGTATTCTAACCTCTAACGTCTTCCTGAGATCTCTCATCTTCTACTTTATGTTATAAATGTTTTTATTTGTACATCTTCCCACTAGACTGTATGGTCCCTGAGGGCATGTGAGTCTTCTTATATTTCTCTTTGGCTGCTTCAAGGTTCAGACTATGATGCAATCTAGCCTCATCTTTCACCATTTTCCCACAAATATGATCTATGTACCAAATACCTTAATACTGCATTCCCTGATTATACTATGCTAATTCAATACTTCTCTCCCTTTTATATATGATAATTCTGCTGCTTTACTTCCTCATGTATCTGGTGACCCCTCACCTAAATTTCAAGATTCAGCTTCATTTCTAAACACATGCCAAAATTCACTTTTACTTTTAAGTAACTATTGGTTATTTTTAATCCTGGAATAAAATAAAGGCTGATGCCTTTAAAATAAATATACATTTAATTGAAAATCACAGAGTTAAGTCTTCTTTTAAAAATGCAACATATAAAATCTTTGTTTTAGCAAACATTGAAATTGATGTTCAGCTGTGAAAATGGTAATTCTCTCTAGCCAAAACTTATACCTGAAACTCATACCAACTACTTCAAGAGATTCACTATCACAAAGAGAAAGCAGAAACCACTTTCTAGGAAAATACTTTGTGGAAAACTTAGGCAAAAAAAAAAAAAAAAATCTGGAAGAAAATTGTTTGCCTTTTGATATATTTTTTGTGTCTATATAAATTCCTTAAAAAGGATGCATGTTGGGTGCAGCAAGAAGATGGGATATTTAGTAAAAAAAATATATATACACATATAGATATTTTATACACAAACACATAAATGTAAATACATGTAAATATATATAGGTTAGTGTCAAAGTTCAAGCCTTGATCTTAAAGGTGTTGAGTTCATGAGTAGTTGGTATATTATTCACAATAATTAGCTAAATAACTGGATAATACTGGGCCATGAGTAGACAAGTGATGAGAATCATGAGCCAAGGATTATGATAAATCATAATTTGTATTCCTAAGGTCCTATTAAAAATAAAATTTAAATATAACCATATTACCAAAATAACAAAAAACATAAAAATTGTAGTGTTTTGTCCTATCCATGAAAGTATGTAGTAATGAAGTCTAAATAAAATAAGCTTATATAAAGCATTTTAAATAATTGAAATAAATTGTAAAATCATTTGCAACATTTCTCCAAAAGATAATTTCTTACTTGATTTTCCACTTTTATGATTCTTCACATTTTTATTTCTGCTATAGTCTATTAGCTGTGGTTTTGATTTGGGTTCTCTTAGCCAGCTAATATCAGTCTTGCTGTCATCACATCTGTACTCTGTTTCAGTATCACTAAATAGATTTTTCTTTTGATGATTTGTTATAATCTATAAAAAAAAGTTTGAAATGCATGAAGAAATACTACATCTCATTATATCATGCAAGGTAAGTTAAACCAAAACAACAACAACAAAAAACAATATCCTAATTTAGGATGGCATTAATAACCTATCCAAGAAAGTCACTTGGAAAACCAGATCAGATAGTGATATTTGCATTTTGGTGTTGATGTTGTTAATTCAAAGTTAAAACAACTTATTTCCAGAGAGATATAACCTAATAGTACATATAGAAAAAAAACTAAACTTGTCATTTCTTTTATTAGATGATTACAAACAGCTGAAAGACAATAAGAAAATTCATAATAGGAATGTGGATAGTTGCATAAATAAAACAATCAAAATATTTTTTTCTTGTTTTTGATAATCTTTAACATTAAAAATTAAGAGAAATACTATTTCTAATAGACATATTGAGATATAACTTACATTTTTATCTTTTGTTTTGACAGAAGATTTAAGTTCATCATGATTCCTTGGACCTACCCTTAAATAAAAATATGTATTAATTAAAAAATACCCTTCATACTTGTTTTCTTAAGGTAACACACAATGGACAATTAGACCTGAGTTTTCAGTCTTAACTCTTTCACTAATTAGCTATATTATTCTGGCCAAGCCACTTATCCTCTCTGACCTCAGTTATAAAATAACTATGTTAGATTAAAGTACTACTAAGTCTTTTCAGCTTCATGATCTAGGATATACAACTAATATTCAAAGGGATGATAATTTGCATATTAATTTAGAGTAAATGCTGAAGTAACAGAATCATAATGGGAGTAATAATAACTGCCATTTTTAATTCACTCTTCTCATTTGTTAAACTCTAAGACTGGGAAGAGATATTTAAGAGGAAAAAAAAGATCAGAATATTTTAATCGAATAAAAGTACCTACAATCTAATCGACTTATCCGCACAGGCTTCTTTAGCTGCAGCTTTAAACTCTTGGATCTACATTGTAAATAAACATTAAAAAAAGAGTTGTCAATGTCAAACACGAATTAAAAGGAATAAACATCTAGTTTTGCTTCACAAAATAATAAGATTTGACATAAAATTAACTTTACTACAATATTTATGTTTGAAAAGAAAACATACAATAAAAATAAATAAGTTTTACTTTTCATCAATAAGAAAGGTGATTTTCTTGGTAGTGAAGGCTTTCTACCCCACAATTGCTTGTTTTTCTCTATCTTATTCCAAAAAAAAAAAATTGAAAAAAAAGACACCTAAATATACATAGGCTGGTTATCCAAAATATTATTACCTATTTCTTAAAAAATTTAAAGCATGTAAGATGATGCACATTAAAAACATACTACCTAATAACCGCACGGTAAATACAATGTAACTTCTCAGTAAATACAAAGTATCTATTGATTTTTAGCTTACTCCAAGTTTTATGATAGGGTCATCTGCTCCGTTCAAATTAAAATTGTAAACATCATTCCTGTGAAAATGAAGAGAAATATTAGCTCCACTTAAATACGTGTAGTCTCTTCAAATATGAAGAAAATGAAAAATATTTACAAAAAATACTTACAATGGGCACTCAGAAGTAACATTGACAAAAGTAGTCTTCAGTTTTCTGTAGCTTTTTTTCTGAACTTTTTCCTAAATACAAAAGAGGGTTATAAAAAAAATCATTAAATGGATAACAGGTATATGAAAAAATGCTCAACAGCACTAATCATCAGAGAAATGCAAATCAAAAACTGAGATGTCATCTCACCTCAGTTAAAATGGCTTGTACCAAAAAGACAGGCAATAACAGATGCTAGTGAGGATGTGGGTCTCATACACTGTTGGTGGAATGCAAATGGTGGTACAACCACCGTGAACAACAGTGTGAAGATTCCTCAAAAAACTAAAAATAGAACTATAGTATGATCCAGCAAGTTACTGAGTATATATCCAAAAGAAAGGAAATCAATATACCAAAGAAGTATCTGCACACCCATGTTTACTGCAGCATTATTGAAACCTAAGTGTCCATCAATGGATAAATGCATAAAGAAAATGTGGTCTGTGTATATACAATGGAATATTATTCAGCAATAAAAAAAGAATGAAATCCTGTCACTTGTAGGAACATGGATGTAACTGGAGGCCAAAGTAAAGTGAAATGAGCCAAACACAGAAAGATAAATATCGCATGTTCTCAGTCATAAGTGGGAGCTAGAAAAGTGAATCTTATGGAGATACAGCATAGAACAGTGATTATCAGAGGCCAGGAAGAGTAGGAAGGAGTAGGGGGGGAACTAAGGGATTAAATATATATATATATAAAATATATATAATATGTAATATTATATATATTTATATATTATATATTTATATTTATATATATAACCAGTGAAATGCACACTTAAAAATGATAAAGATGGTAAATTTTATATATATATTTTACCTCAACAAAAAACTTGTACATTACTCTATGTGCCAAATAATGTGCAATTAATTTTTAAATATTTTTCTAGTTGTGCTTTCACTAATATAAATCTGACATTTGTAACATTCTCCTTAAACTGAATAAAAATATATGCAAAATAAATTAAATCACCACCCATAAGTATAATTGCACTCCTAGGGCCAGGTGCAGTGGCTTACACCTGTAACCCCAGCACTTTGGGAGGCCAAGGTGGGTGGGTCACCTGAGGTCAGGAGTTCAACACCAGCCTGACCAATATGGTGAAACCCTGTCTCTACTGAAAATATAAAAATAAGCTGGGCATGGTGGCATGCGCCTGTAGTCCGAGCTACTCAAGAGGCTGAGACAGGTGAATTGCTTGAACCTGGGAGGCAGAGGTTGCAGTGAACCAAGATCACACCACTGCACTCCAGCCTGGGGAACAGAGCAAGACTCTATGTCTCAAAAAAAAAAAAAAAAAAAAAAATCTGCATTCCTATGTTCATTGCAGTGGTATTTATAATAATCAAAACACGGAAACAAAGTAAGTATTCATTGGCATATGAATGAATTGTGGTGCGTGTATATTTACATGAAGAAATATTATTCAGCCTTAAAAATAGTATATCCTGAAATTTGCTATAACATGGATGAACCAAGACAAGAGGACATTATGCTAAGCGAAATAACCAGACAGAAAGAAAATACTGCATGATCTCCCTTATATGTGGAATCTTAAAAAAAAGAAAAAAAAAAGTCAAATCTATAGAAATAAGAGAATAAAACAGTGGTCACCAGAGGATGGCGGGGGGAAGGAAAAAGGGAGATCAAAGGATACAAAGTTGCAGATATGTAGGATGAGTAAGTCTAAAGATATAATGCAGAACATAAGGACTATTAATAGTATTGTATAATACACCAACTTTATATAATACAGTATTATATAATAGGTTGTTGTACCAACCTATTATATTTGGGATATTTGCCAAGAGTAGATTTTATGTGTCCTTGCCACATACACACAAAGATGAATGAATACATTAATTTGATTATAGTAACCATTTCACTATGTATATCATGTTATACACCTTAAATATATACAATAAAACTACTTTTTAAAAATATTGAAGACAAATAGTAAAAATATAATAGAAAATATTGTAAATCTAATAAAATCCTTTAACCTTAATACTTACTGACATTGTTGTATGTAGATAAATGACCTCCTTACTGGAATTCTACAAGCTAAATTTTGGTGATGCCATGATCACAAACCAAGCATGCTTCTACTTTGTTTTGGATTTTCATTTGCTTTAAACTCTTAAATAGAAAACTTTGAGAGGCTAAGGTTTAAGTAAAATCTCATATAAGAGAGTCAAAAAGCTATCAATTAACTAGTATTGTTAGGAAAAAAATGTGTTAGATTATTCATACAGTCTACAACTAAAAAGATATACAACCAGATCTCAAAGTAGTGAGGGCAGAAAAGAAGTTAAATAAAATAACATTTAATAAATTATTAATTGTAATATGTTGTATTAATGATTACTGATCAGAAATAGTTAGACTATCTAGTAAATTAGAAATATTAAAACCTAAAATATTAATTTTATTTTGTGACTCATCTTCAATTTATTTCTCTCGGCTATTTTATATAGAAGTATTTGCATTATTTTAAAAAGGTTCTCTCAATATATTACTCCTCTGATCATTTATCTGACTTATCCTTCCCAGTATTGTTTTTACCAGTGCTCGCATACACGTGTTCATTCATCTGTTGCATCTTTTGTGTGCTGTTACAGAATATGTAAAAATGAGCAAAGATGTTAAAGAAGATAAGCCAAAGGTATCAATGGTATTATAGAGGATACAAAGGTGAGCACAAAAATGTTACAGAAAATACAAAGATGATTCAGAATAAAGTGTAGTGAAAAAATAGAAGAAGAAAAAAAACCCCATGAGTAAAATAGCAAAAATAAATAAAAATGTAAAAGGTACCAAAACACTCTATTGTACAGATTCAGAATTATTGCCAAATGGGTTTCTGAGTCAGGGCATCTTGGAAAGTTTTCATAAGGAAGGTACAAAGCAAGACTTGCAAAGATAAATATTTTAATAATCAGATAAGAGGGTGAGAGAGCCTGCTGACTAAGTTCAAAGTTCATTGCAAAGAGAAAAAGAATAAATACTTAGAAAAGACTTACTTCAGGAAACCTCAAGTTATCATGTTTCAGTTAAACATGATATGCCTAGAAAATTAAGAAACAAGATAATCTTTTAAAGGGACAAGTGAGCCAGTCTATGTTTCCATTTAATTCAATAAGCAACAGGAACCAAAAAAAGGTTTCTGAACAAGAAAGTGGCATGATTGGAGCTGTGTGCTTTGGAAAGAAAAAAAGCTGGTAGTGAATGTAATGTATGGATTGACACAGAGAAATGCTAGAGGCAAAGAAAATTATTAATACATAAAGCCTATTGTAACAATCCAGAGATTAGAAATCAGAACCAAAACTGGGCTAATAGGAGTTGGCCTAGACAGGGGAGAAAACATTCAAGAAGAACTTACAGAGGGGGAACTTCAAAACTTGAAATATTAAGTGGACACAGAGAGCAACTGTGAGGAATTAGAAAAAAGATAATTTATATTATAAGCCTGGATAAAGAGTAAAGGTTTTTTAAAACAAAATTGGAACTTCAGTAGGATCTAATTGTTAGGAGAGATGGGGTCGGCTATTAACACACACACACACACACACACACAGTGAAAAGGATATACTGAATCATATACCAAAAAGTAAAAATATTATGCTCATATATCTAATAGAAGCATTTTATTTGAAAAACAGAAGGTTGGAGGGCTATTCTGAGTACTTGCTACTAAACCTGTCAGTGGTTATCATTCATTTAGCAATATGCCAAAAACATCATTATCAAATTCCATTTTACCACTATGTTATTTTAGTGTTTATGGTCAAATACTGAGTTTGACTACACATTTGGTGAAGTAAATAACACCTACCTTACCGAGTTGTACAACAGATTTGTTTGAAAAACCACTGTAAAAAAAAGATTTTGTCAAAATTGAAAAAGCAATTAAGTATCAATAGAATATTTTTCATAAAAGTCATTTTAAGATAAACCATATTTATATCACTAAATCTATATTCAGTATGTTAAAAATAACCAAAATGTAACAGTAATAGTCTGATATTTTTGCTACTTCACTCACAGTAAATAGCACTTACAATAGAGCATTCAAAGCTGAATCATTAATGCAGCAGAAAGTGTGAATTTAAAATGAATGATTCTGCCTTAAGAGTCATTTATTCATGATCTATAGTAAGGCCAGAATTAACGTAAACTTGAATTAACAACCTGACAGACTATAAATGGACATTCTGTAATAAACACAATCTTTGGAAAGACTGCAAAGAATGTACTATTTACTACAAAAAACCTCTCATATCTGGTTAAATTTTGTATTTCATTAAGCAATGTATTTAAATATATTTAGTTTATTCATTACTAGATTCAGTAAGTACAATGTCTACATCTTAAAGATTTATTTTTAAAATGGTATGTTGTGTTGATATGTGTTTGATCCTATATAAAATGTAACTAGACAATAGAATGACAAATTTCAAATTTAGTTCCCTTCCTGTGTAATTTAAACATCTACTATTTATAAAAGTATTAAGTAACCATGTGTTTTCTACTGAAAAGTTACATTATCTGAACCTATGTTTAAAATTAACCTTTTTTAAATTGTGTAATATAGTTGTATCGGTCAGAAAAATATTCATATCTGAAATTTAAGAACATACCTGTTAATCAAAGACTCCTTTAATTTTCTTGTAGACTTGATGTCATCTTTTGTTTTGTATCTTTTATTGATTTGGCTTATCAAGGATTCTGCTGCATGGGTAAATTCTTTCCCTTTTGACTTTTCTCTCTGAAAAATTTGTAAGTTACTTTTAAACTCTACCAGTTAATCTTCAAAGGAAAATAAAGGCTGAAAAAAACTTTTAAGATAAATCTGGTTCTATTTATACCTGTAAAGAGAAATAGAGTCAATTATTTAATAAGTTTGAGCTTTGTTAGGCATTGAAATAACTCAAGATAAATATTTTAACAGAACTTTACAGAGTGCTTTGTAGACATTTTTAAAAATGTTTCTACCCGTGAGAATAAAAAACTGAAAAAAGGAGAAGCCATTTCTTTGAAAAGATCAATAAAATTGATAAACCTTTAGTCAGATTAACAAAGAAGAGAAAAAAAACAAATTACTATCAGAAATGAAAGAAGGACCATCACTGCTGATCACATAGACATTAAAATAATAAGTCAATATTACGAACTCCATGCCCACAAATGTGATAGGCTAGATGAAATGGACCAATTCCTTGAAAGACATAATCTACCAAAACTTATGTAAACAGAAACAGATCATCTGACTAGGCCTATGTCTATTAAAGAAATGGGATGAATACTTGATATCCTACCAAAACAAAACACCAGAAAGAGTTCACTGGTGAACTCTATCAAACATTTAAGGAAGAAATTATGCCAATTCTCCATAATCTTCTAGAAGATAGAAGAGTAGGAACTACTTCCTAACTTGGTCTATGAGGCCAATATCCCCTTAATACCAAAACCAAAGACATTACAAACAAGTAGAAGTACAAACCAATATCTCCCATAAACACATATGCAAAAATCTGTAACATCAGCAGTATCAGCAAATCAAATCCTACAACCTATAAAAAGAATTACGCACCTATTACCAAGTGGAATTTATTCTAGGCATGCAAGACTGATTTGACATTTGAAAATTAATGTACTCCATCATATCAACAGGCTAATTTAAAATAATCAATATAAATTGATACACAAAAAGCATCTGACAAAATCCAACACAAACTCATGATAAAAAACTCTTAGCAAACTAGGAATAAATGGAAACTTTCTCAGCTTGATAAAGAATATCTACAAAAACAGTTACAGCTAACATCACACTTAAGGGTGAGAAACAAGATGCTTTTCCTATTAAAATCAGAAACAAGGCAAAAATGTCCCCTCTCATTGCTTCTTTCTAACACTGTTCTGGAATTCTTAGCTAAGGCAATAAGCAGAAAAAGGAAATAACAGGTATATTGATTAGGAAAGAAGAAATAAAACTGTCTTTGTTCACAAATGACCTCACTGTCTATGTAGAAAATCTCAAAGAATTAGCAACAAAACTACTGGAAGTAATAAGCAATTGTAGCAAGATTGCAAATTTCAAGGTTAATATACAAAAGTCAACCACTTTCTTATAAACCAGCAATGAACAAGTGGAGTTTGTAATCAAAAACATAATATAATTTACATTAGCACTGCCAAAAGAAATACTTAAATGTGAATCTAACAAAACATGTACAAGAGAAAAACTACAAAAGTCTGATGAAAGAAATCAAAGGAGATCTAAATAAATGAAGAGATATTCCACATATATGGATAGAAAGCTCAATACTGTCAAGATGTCAGTTCTATCTAACTTGATCTATAGATTTAACACATTCCTAGTCGAAAGTACAAACAAGTGGAACACAGGGGAATGGTAGGGCACTGAAGCTATTCTGTGTAATACTGTAATGGTAGATATGTCACTTCACTACATATTTGTCAAAACACACAGAATGTATAACAAAGCATGAAACCTAATGTAAACTAAGCATTTGAGTTAATAATCATTATGTATCAATAATGATTCATCAATTCTACCAAATGTACCACAGTGATGCAAGATGTTAACAACAGGGGAATGGGTAAATGGGTATATGAGGAATCTCTATACTTTCTACTCACTTTTGGAACTAAAATTGCTCCAAAAATAAATTTTTAAAAGTAAAAGGACTACAAAATAAGAATTATTCTCAGCATAATTTAGATAACTTAGTTTTAATAAACTACAGTAGTATTCTTAAAGACATGAGGGCTCCTGAGTTTATATTTACTTTTCTCTGGTTATAGGCATATAGGTTTTTAAATTATAGTGATATACACAAAACTCTAGTAAACACAGAATTTACTATTTTAACCATTTTGAAGTCCATATGTTCTTATATATAATAGGTACTAAGTTATTAATGTTCCCTTAAGATTATCAGATTGCAAATATGGTTTATTTGTCTTGATAGAAATGTACCAAAATGAACCTTCTCTAAAATACTGTATGATTTCAGAAATTCCAGTATAATTGGAGCCAGCCTGGGAAATCTGTGCCATTTAAGAACATAGGTTGCTCTGGGGTGATCCAATAAGTAGAAAGACAGTATCAGACAGATGGCTACCTTAGAAGACAGTGATCATCTCACACCCATTAGAATGATGATCATTAAAAAGTCAGGAAACAACAGATGCTGGAGAGGATGTGGAGAAATAGGAATGCTTTTACACTGTTGGGAGTGTAAATTAGTTCAACCATTGTGGAAGACAGTGTGGTGATTCCTCAAGGATCTAGAACCAGAAATACCATTTGACCCAGCAATCCCATTACTGGGTATATACCCAAAGGATTATAAATCATTCTACTATAAAGACACATGCTCATGTATGTTTATTGTGGCACTATTCATAACAGCAAATACTTGGAACCAACCCAAATGCCCATCAATGATAGACTGGATAAAGAAAATGTGGCATATATATACCAGGGAATACTATGCAGCCATAAAAAAGGATGAGTTCATGTCCTTTGCTGGCACATGGATGAAGCTGGAAACCATCATTCTCAGCAAACTAACATAAGAACAGAAAATCAAACACCCCATGTTCTCACTCATAAGTGGGAGTTAAGAACACATGAACACAGGGAGGAGAACATCACACACTGGGACCTGTTGGGGGGTGAGGGGCTAGGGGAGGGATAGCATTAGGAGAAATACCTAATGTAGATGATGGGTTGATGGGTGCTGCAAACCACCATGGCACATGTATACTTACGTAATAAAACTGCACGTTCTGCACATGTACCCCAGAACTTAAACTATAATAAATGAATAGGTAGGTAGGTAGGTAGGTAGACAGTGATTCATGGAACTGGTGGGAAATCCTAAATAGGATACAGGTAGTGACTCTATGAAGGACTGAAGGCAATTTCTGAAAACAGGAAGTTGATTTTTTTAAAATCAGAGCACAGCTTAGAAAAGATTATTAGGTTTTGTGCTCCCAGAAAAAAAAATGACTAGCTCAGGGAAATTATGTGAAATTATTCTAAATACCAAAGAAAGCAATTTAAAATTTAAATTTAAAGACAGATCTTTGTTTGGACAAAAAGAACCTTATTTCCCCTGGGACCGAGGGAAGTAAATAGCAGCTGAGAAAGAGAAAATAACATATTAGGATCCAAGAAATAAAGGGACCCAAAAGAATATGATTAAAGAAAACAGCCAAATTAGGCACAAAAAGTGAGCTGCAGGTGTAGAAAATATTTTAAAGGAGACTGGTCGAGAAAAATAATGCCTAATTATATACAGTTGCAAATTATCTTTTAAATGTAATTTGCACATTGAGATGTTACATTGTGTGAACATTTTACATGGACTCTAGAAATCTGGCTACGCAGGTATCAGCATTACTACTGAAGATAAATGAAAATAAAAGCCTACAAAACCTGGATTATTTTAGAAATATCAAAAAGCTGATTGCATTACTTGCAGTGGAAATGTATTCTAATTAAAATTTTTTTTTCTTAATCTGCATTTTGATAGTTAAGAAAAAATGATTTACCCATACTGTTACAAAAAAGTAAAATTTTCTTCCCTGGAAGTCTGGTGGCAAAGTAGCTAAAAATGTCTTAGATATGTTCTCCAGAGATGATTAATCTGAAAAAGAAAGTGGGAGCTCTAATAATGAGTAACAGTTACAATAGAAGACAGTCTCTTCCAACCCATTTACATACTTTCTTGCAAAACCTTCTCAAGGTTAAAAGCATTCATCCAAAAAATATTTGAGATGTTACTGTGTACAAGGCTGTGCTAGGACATGCAGGAAAACAAATGTTGAATAAAACAGAGTCTATGGTTATAGTCGTAGAGAGAAAAAAAATAACCGTTTATTAAAAAGAAAGGTAAGAATTATAAGAAATGTACAAACAGTTCTATATGCAAGTCAAAAGGAAAGAGTGGGAGGAACCCAAAAAGAAGAGATAGGAACTGCATAGTTCATTAATTCTATACATATTTACATGTCTGATATGTGCCTACTACTGTCAGAGCTAGGACGAGAGAGGTGAGTGAGGAGTTTAAGAAGGAATTCTCAGAGTCTGGGCACTGAATTAAACAAGGTACTACACATGTTAAATGTGTAGCAATTAATCAAGCTTCTTTCTTATGTTATCAAGTAGGCATCTTATGGATATGCAAAAATCAAAACACATTGAAAGCTCACCATTTTTTTTTGTTTCAAATCCCAGGAATTAAGCTCAGAAGTCAATTCTTTCCCTGCTTTTCTATGACTTTGCATATTTTTGCTAGCAGAAGGATTTTTATCGCAAGTAGCAGTATTCACATCTTTTGACAATACGTATTTCTTCCTATAAATCAGCGATTCTTCAATTGTCTTATTTAGGAGAACTGATTTAAAAGTAGTTTCAGATTCAACAGGCCAATCACTCTGCTTGGCGTTTTCAGTACTTTTCTGCCCTGGATATTTAGGATGATTTTGTTGTTGATTGTGTTTCTTGCAAACTTCTACTTCTGCTTTATCTCTTTTGAGATGATCGGTTCGTTCTTTCTTATATTTCACTTTTCCTGTTTCTTCAGAATTATGATCAGATATTGAAGAGGATGATTTTTGTTTAGTAAGTTTTTTATTTATAACAATATCTATTGAGGAAAATGAGAAATTAATTTTTTAAATTAATAAGTTGACAATATGTAAAATTTGTTAAATTTGTTTTAATGCTTGTTAGACATTTGAGGAAATTAACACTGAACTATTATATATAGATAAAATTCAGTTTCACCTTGATTAAATGTGTCTCCTGATGAAGTACTTGCTCTTTGGTTATTACATAGTTCAATGTTTGTTACAGGTGTCCAACATGCCCATTTGCTGTGCATTTTATTTCCAGAGATGTTGTCTAAAACACCAGGTAATCTAGAAAATAATTTGTTTACTATGTTATAAAAAATTAGCCTATGACTTTAAGACCTTGATTTTTAATGTAGTCAAAGTTTACTGAAAGCAATGTATTACATGTGTGTAAATAATATGTAAATATATCTTATCTTACATGTTCTACTGTAAACTAAGTTAAATTTCTACACATTCATTGTTTATACATTTTTAAAATCTCATTCATTTTAAGTCTCTCCACTTGAAAAGAGTTATATTGATCCATATGGGGGGGAAAGCCATATACATCATTCCCCATTGTGCTGTCATAACACTTAAGAGATTATTAATGCTACATTCTAATCATATAAAGTCCTTTTCCTCCAAATCTGTTGTATTCACTAAAAACAGCAATAGTATAGACTAAATGATTTGATGATTTTCTCATACTTACACAGTATGATCTCTTTTTTCCACTGCCTGTGAATCAGGTATAACATCCTGGAGTTCATCTAAATAAAACAAATACTATTATATTTTCATTTTTTTCATGCAGTTGGCAGTGGGATGGGGAGTTAGTATAGAAACGTATAAAGGTTCACGTATTAGGATGAATGGATTGATCGATTTTGCGTCCTCTTAGATCCAAACTTCTGGGGAACAAAGGTTGTATATTTCTTTGTAACCTCAAAAATTCCTTGCACAAAGTCAAACAAATTCTTTGTAAATCTTTTTCAAATCAATGAAAGCCAGTGGAGTTAAAGGAAAATACAGGGAGAAGTATGTTTTCCAAAAAAAAAATGACTAAAATTAAACCACAAGATACTTACTAAAATTTTGGTTTGGGAATTCAACGTTCATATTTTCTGTGTTTTCTACACACTTAGCAGTTTTGATGTGCTGTAAACATGGGAAACATGTTAACGTAAACTTAAGATGTTATAGGAAAACAACTTAAACGTTAGAGTATTAAGGTTTGAGTCTTTTAAATCTGCCTTGATATGAAAAGTTGGATACTATTTTTATATATTTCATAAACGTTATGCCCATTTCTGAATGCTCCCTATCCTAAAACACAAGAAGAAAACTATCACTGCAGATGAGGCAGAATATTGCATAAATTTTCTGATCACATCCACAGCTAGAATAATTCAATTTTCATCTGTAACTGACAATTTCTGTACTCTCCATGAGAAATCTCTCCTGCTGCTATTGATTACATAGCCTGCTTTGTCGATTTTGATATGGTCCACTCTTTCTTATATTTCACTTTTCCTGTTTTTTCAGAATTATCATCAGATATTGAAGAGGATGATTTTTGTTTAGTAAGTTTTTTATTTATAACAATATCTACTGCATTGCCCAGGTAACTTCTTTCCTACAGCGAGCTTCCCTATTTCCATAGCCAAAGATACACACTTAATCCAGATCAAATACAAATCTGCCACTATTGTCAGAAAAATATTCCCATTAGTCTAAAATATTTTGCCTCATCCTAGCTGCCTCTCCTTCTTACTCTAGCCAGTGATTCTCCACACTGGGAGGGGAACGTTACGGAAATACGCAGGTGTGGTTTGGGTTGTTACAACGACAGAGGGTTTCTCCTGACAATAGGTAAGCACGATCCTAGCTAGGATGTTTATCATCCTACAACATTTAGGACCATGTCGCACAACTGAAAAATAATCCCCTTATTAAGAAACACTTAAGACAACTTGAACCATTACTTTGACTATTTTCTTGTAATATCTTCAACTTTCATACGCTTTATCTTTCTGCCACATACCCATTTACATTTTAAGAATCCATCATCTGTTCTCATCTTACTATCAACACCAAGGCTACTAAGCTTTGAGAAAATTGTACATATTTATAAACATATTTATGCTATAAAAGTCATATTTAAACTGGGTCCTCAACATTATCTAACAGTTATTCTTAGGCCTCTCCGTTACCTTGCACATAGCTTTACATGTCCCTGAATCCTGTACTTCAACAGATCTCTAGGAGAAACTCACCATCTTCACACTTCAGAAAAAACAAAAGCTATTAGATGTTCCTCCTTTACAAGCTTATCTGCAACTCTGATTGCCTCCTGTTTCTTGAAGAAACTATTCTCTCTTATCCTTTCCTGCTCTGTCTTTTCAACTACCTGGAACAAATGCCCTTCTCCTCAATATCCATTTGACTCTTTATTGACCTTTCAAAAGTCAATTCTCTCTCCATATTTTCTTAAAAAGCATCTCCTGATCTTCACCCTCACATCTAGCTACAGGGTTAGGCACTTGACCCTCTACTTGGTTCCTATATGTGTACATCTGAGAATGCTTTTTTTTATAACTTATTATCTAATTTTCATGCTAGATTTTGAAAAACTTAAGGACACAGTCCACTTGTATCTCACATTCCTATACCACAGCCTTCCCTATAGCAGTCACTAATTTGTATAATAAATTACATAATTATGGCAAGTTCATTTATGCTCCCAAATGTGTAAATCAAGTTATAGTGAATATTCATAAGTTTTATTGTAAGCACAGTAAATGAGTCATATATGCCAGAAGGACTCTACTTTCAAGAGCAATAAATGATACTTAGGGGAAAAAAAGGTAATGCCTTAAACAAAATGAGACATTTGCAGCTTGCAAAAGAAGTTAGTTCAATGCATATTTCCACAATTACTTGAAAAAAATTTTTAAAAATACTTTCAAGGTAAAGTTACTTTGTCTGTATTATCTCTCTTATGTCTTTCTTCTGATGGTCTAGATTTCAGTGATGCAGCATTATCCACTCCATTTTCTGATGTCTGAGAAACACTAGGTTTCTCTGCAGAACTCGTCATTTGCAGTGGTGGTTTAATTCTTCTTCTTTGTGGTGGTATTGCTAAAAAGGAGGACAAGGATTGCAGATTTCTTTTTCTTTTTTTTTTTACCTTTTGCTATTGTTGAGGTACTTTTCAGATGAGGAAGGTAAGAAATGAACATTCTTAGATGGTTCCCAGGTTTCTGGCTTAGATAAATAAGTGAATATAGATGTCATTTACCAAGATAAGAAGTGAAGGAAAAATTTGCAGGGAGGGTGGAAAGATTAATTTAACTTTGGACCTATTAAGTTTGAGGAGCCTGTCAGATACTAGGCAATTGGCCAGTAGGCAATTAGATTTTTAGAACAGAAGGTCAATGTTAAGTTGTCATATAGACTAAGACTTTAAAGAAACTAGTACACAGTATCAGATTTTTAAAAACTTTTATTTAGCTCTTAGTATGTATCAGGCACTGTTTAAAGTTTCACTAGATTCCTTATTAAATGAGTAATTTTTATTTAGTCCTCTAAACAACTTGATGAGATACTTAAGTGCCACTTATAGAAAAAAAACTGGTTCTAAATTTAGCTAGAGGATAACCTGTACAAAGTACACAGCTGGAAGTGGGGAGCTCAGTCCGCCTGGCCTGGTTAATTCAGTGTTTTAACCAGTAAGATACGCTGTGTCTTGCTTAAATTATAACAAATTATTGTCAAATATTAGTATTTTGAACATTGTTCTGTTCATATGTTAGCATTATACTTTTCCTCCCATTAGAAGACATTTGTGGTTCATATTTTATCAATTTTTATACACCAAACTTATCCTTTATGTAAATTATGCTCAGATTTCCTTAAATTAAAAAATGCCCCCTTTAAAATAATTGTTAGAAATCTTTTAAAACTATAAAACTTACATGTGTTGCTGAAAAGTACTGGACTTCTCACAGTGTATCTATCTGCCCCAGAAACAATCATTGATGCTTCAGACATTTTTCTTTTGCTAGGAGTAATTATCTGAAACCATGATGAAAAACAACCACTGTAAACACAGTCTTTTGGAAATTAAATATCCTACAATTTTACTTATAACATTTTGCCTTGATACATGCCAAAGATATATGTTTTTTTAAACAGACAACACAATATCCATAAATTTCCATGTTTTAGGCTGATATGAAAGGTTCATCTTCATGTTTGGTATTAAGTAGCCAAAACAAGTAAGGAACACTGTTTTAAAGAATATTTATAGAATATCCATACCTATGAAGTACAGTACCTTTATATGCTAGCTGAAAATATTTTATCAATATTGAGCTTATCTAGTTAACCATAGCTTGCAATTTCCTATTCTATATCATGAGGATAATGTTTGGATTACATCTTTATATAAAATTATTTTGAGTGCTTTCATATTAAGCTTTCTTCAAAATATTCACACATTTTTGAAAATTGTACTAATAATCAGTGAAGGCTAAACTGGAGAAGTAGCTGCAGGAATTCATAGATTCAGTGGCACATAATCTAGTGGTTCCAATAAAGATTTATTTTCTCCCATATCATCTCACACTGATTTATAAGAGGGACAGAAGTAGATAAGTAGAGGCAGGGACTACAGGAGACAGGAGTTTCAGAGGATGCCATGTTAAGAAGTAGATGGTGACATACTGCATAGAGGCATAAAAGAGCTGGTTTTAAGGCACCTGTCCCTAGAACAGGGGAAAAAATGATGTAGTTGTGAGTATGTATATGAAATGTGAGGGAAGGATGGAAAGGATAACAGAAAAGAAAATTATAAGATTAACTAGAAAACAAGCTTCTGAGCCAATAGATTTTTCTTAGAGAAATTAAGTTTTTAGTGGCATAGTGAATGGGACCTGAAAAGTTACTTATTCATATAAATGCCTCAAACAGTTCATCCTCATTGAAAACAGAGCACAGGTATTTAACAGTAGTCTGGTGTTTTTCAAAACTTCGGTGTGCTTAAGACCTTTCCAAGAGTTTATGGTTCAACAGATTTAAGGTGGGGCTAAGAATCAGCATTGTTAATAAGCACCCAACATGATTCTGATATAGACACCAAAAATAGCTTTCATGTGCTAATTTGTCTAGAGGAAATAAATGATACTTTTAATTTAATTGAGAACAAAAGACTAAAAAACAAAATAGTAACATAAACATGCCAAAACATATGGAAGTGCCTGTGAGAGTTATAGTTACCTAAAGGTGAGAGATTAGTAACAACTGAAATAATCAGGCAAAGCTCCATGAAGAAAGCAAAAAATGGGCTGGGCGCAGTGGCTCATGCCTGTAATCCCAGCACTTTGGGAGGCCGAGGAGGGCAGATCATCTGAGGTCAGGAGTTCGAGACCAGCCTGGCCAACAAGGGAGACCCTGTCTCTAGTAAAACAAACCAACAAACAAAAAACAAAAATTAGCCAGGTGTGGTGGCAGATGCCTATAATCCCAGCTCCTTGGGAATCTGAGGCAGGAGAATCACTTGAACCCAGGAAGCAGAGGTTCTGGGAGGCGGAGGTTGCAGTGAGCAGAGATTGCACCACTGCACTTCAGCCTGTGTGACAGAACAAGACTCCATCTCAAAAACTAAATAAAAGAAAGAAAGTGGAAGACAGTGTGGTGATTCCTCAAGGATCTAGAACCAGAAATACCATTTGACCCAGCAATCCCATTACTGGGTATATACCCAAAGGATTATAAATCATTCTACTATAAAGACACACCCACACGTGTTTATTGCGGCACTATTCACAATAGCAAAGACTTGGAACCAAACCAAATGCCCATCAATGATAGACTGGATAAAGAAAATGTGGCATATATACACCATGGAATACTATGCAGCCATAAAAAAGGATGAGTTCATGTCCTTTGCTGGCACATGGATGAAGCTGGAAACCATCATTCTCAGCAAACTAACACAAGAACAGAAAATCAAACACCCCATGTTCTCACTCATAAGTGGGAGTTAAGAACACATGAACACAGGGAGGGGAACATCACACACTGGGGCCTGTTGCAGGGTGGGGGACTAGGGGAGGGATAACATTAGGAGAAATACCTAATGTAGATGACAGGTTGATGGGTGCAGTAAACCACCATGGCACATATATACCTATGTAACAAACCTGCACGTTCTGCACATGTATCCCAGAACTTAAAGTATAATAAAAGACTTCCTACAAAAAAAAGATTTGTAAAATGTTTTAAAAGGAAAGCAAAAAAAGAGAAAGTGAAAATGAACAAGACTTGCAAATGTAAGTATGCTTTAGATGGGTAAAGGCAAAAAAAGAAATAATGTGAATGAAGACCTAGAGGCATGAATGAACATGGCATGCAAAGAGACAGTAAAGCAAATTACCTTACAAAAGGGGAGAATACATATTACAGTTTTAATAGAAAAGGTAAAATTAAATTATACAAAGTCTCAGAACTGAGCCAAAATTTATTCAGTCAGTGGGATAAACACAGAAATCACAAAGCTTTTGGAGTAGAAGAATGCTATCAAGATACTGATATTTAAGGAAAATCGCTGATTATAGGGGGTATCTCATAGGATAAAACGGTGGTGACAAAGTCGTACAAGGGGGCTACTGTATTAACCTAAGTGTGCTGAGATGAGTAATGGTAGAAGAAATAAGAAAGAATGGATGTGAGAGATAGATACTATGAAAGAATAATCACAAGCACCTTGGTTCCAGATATAAGGGGAGAAGAGGCTGGAATCCAGCATGTTGCCAAAAAAATTAGGCAGATTTTTTTGTACTGAAATACAGATGCAGATTTTAGGCAAAAGATAAAATGTTTGAGCTTAGACTTCAGGAAAGGTCTTGAAGAGACATACAAATGGAAATACAAAAAAAAAAAGTAGAGATGCAGCTATAGAATTTTGAAGAAAAGTCTGCTACATTTTAAGAGCTCACATCATGAATATGAAAGAAGCTCTCTAAGAAAGAAGGCAACAAGATGTTCCAACAGCTGGATATCAAGGTTTTGGGTTTAGAGTTAACCTACAAAGAGGTATAGAGAGAAAGTTTTTCTGAGAAGCAGAAAGGGAACTGTGGTATACAATGGAAGCTGAAGGAGAGGACCTTAAGAAACAGAGGGCTATCAACAATGTCAAGTGTCACAGCAAGGTATGGTGGTAGGGGTTCCAATTATGAGAAATGGTTCTCCTGGATGTGACCTAGAGGAGGTCCTTCAATGGAAGAGGAAGAAAAGGAGTAAAAGAAAGAACCGCATACTCTTTTTTTTCTCATGCAAATAAACAGAACATTATACATTACTATTCTACATTATAGCCAAATGCAATGATAGAACAAAAAGGATAAATGCAAGAAGCAGGTTATCTTATCTCTAATTTGTAATTTACAAGTGTAAAGTATATCTTGTTCTAACCCCATAACATGTACACAATTTGCTAAGACACACACTATCTTTTGTTTGCATTTGTCAAAGGTAGGAGAAAAACTGTGAAATGTGATTAATGAAAGCCAATAATGTATAAATTATAGATGCTTCTTTCTGTACTCATATATAGCAATGATTCGATCAATGGTAGTTTTATAAGCCAGTATTTTGACACCATCTTTACCTCAAGCTGACTATCATTTCTATTCCCTTTGTTACTGTTTTTGATATATTTTGAAGGTTTAGCAAATTCCTTTGGGGACTTTGATTTTTCCTTTAAACTAACGAGTTCTTCTCTGACTGGTGAGATTTGACTTTCTGGCACTAGAATCTGTTGGAGAACATGAAAAAAAAAGTATTAAAAACTGCAAACCACAGAAAGTAATCAACAATCACTGGATGTCTTAATAAAGCTCATACTCATCTCATATTCAAATTATCAATTGTTTCCCTTTTCTATCTATGTGCTGTTACAATTTTTACAAAGTGATCCAATAAAAAGTATCCATGTTTTCAAACACTAATAGACATAAAACAAGCTTGGCATTAATGTAAGGACATTTACTGCTTTATTAAAGTTTTAAAGTTACTAAACTGATATTTATTAATAACCCCACACTTTACACTAAAATTATCATTTATAACATGTATATCATTTATAACATCATTTAAACATCATATACATTTTATCAGGGTACTGTTTATATTGAGACCATTTGTTTTCTATATATTCACCGTCCAACACCACCTTTATTACTGTTCTATTAGTTATGGTTAAACTTAGCCCAGTGATAAAAATCAAGTCAGTCTGAGACATACCTGTGATCCACTTGCATCAAAAAGTATATGCAGCGATGTTTTGGCAACTGAAATACCTTGTTTTCTGATAGATTCCTAAAATTAAATCAATTCACAGTGATCACATTTTCTTTCCATTTTTTATATGTCATTTTATATTTTATTTTATAAAATAATGTACTTTATAAAATAATGTAATTATTTTCTACCTGTTTTCCTCCAAAATCGCCAAATATCCCAAAATAATTACTTTGTATATATGAATACTTTCTCAGAACACTTCAATCACTCCCCATTAACCAGTCACCTTAGCTTGTCTGCAACGCAAATATATATTCTGCAACACAAATCTTTTGCACTATTCAAATTTGTCCATTGAATATCTCCCCAACACATCACATGAATTGTCACCTTAAATTCTCAGTTAAACAATATTTGGCTCGTAATTTCTATATGCCTGGAAAGTATTTTATCTAAATCCTTTCCTTCAACTTCGAAGGCCATTTCAAGTCCCATATCCATAATAATGCCTATCTCCAAACCTCTTTATGAGCCTTCTCTTTCTTCAATATCTACAACTCTTGTTCCCTATGCCATTATTTACTACTTCTTATGTATCATGTGTGTAATTTTCATGATGTTTAAAATCTTGAAAACAGTGCTTTCTCTCATTTTACTTTTTAAACACCTGGCAGAAATTCATTAAATGTTTTGAGCAGCTGCTGCTAATTTTGTCATCAGATACTTTCTAATGGGTATCTCAATGGATATGACTAACAAGCTGATGACTCTTCACCAGTACAAATTTAAAGAACTAAAATCTACATTTTAAGAATACTAGAAAGGAAAAAAAGCAATAAAACTTATAACCCCAAACTGAGTGTTTCCAGAATTATGAAAACAGTAAATATTTATTAAGTTTAAAGACTTACCCTATGTTTATTTGCACCAAAAATTTTTTGAGTCACATTAGTGATTTCTAGTGATGCATCAAAATACAAAAGCAATTCTTTCCCTTCTCTTTTGCTAATTTTTACTATATTTTTCAGAATTATCGTTAGTAGCTTCTTTGATTCTCTCACTGTATACAAACAAATAACACTGATTAGTTTGTTTCTATGATACTACTCTGCAAGTATACTATGAATAAGACATGGATGTAGCATATTAATTGAATCAAAATTCAAATTCTCAATATTGAACAGTGTTTAAATTAATCAATTCTGGCACTACTTACCTAGGTAAATAAATCAAGTCAATTTAGCTTTCCTAGCCTCAGTATTCTTATCTATAAAATATGGGATATAGCTATACCTGATAAGATAGAGTCCCAAATACATTCTGGACCCTAACAAATTCTTAATAAAATATTCCTTGAACACATCTGAGAATACTATTTTCTTAACTTAAACAAAGGCAAACAAAAACAACTTTAATTCCATATAATTACCATGTTTCTAGACATATGCATATAAACATTTCTATTAAATCCACAGTTGTTATAACATGCTGACAATAAACAACACTTGATAAAAATTAAGTTTCAGGAAATTGTGAGGTGAGAAGGATCTAGCACTTGGCCTCAATGAACTTACCAATCCAGTAAACAGAGAACACAGCAAGTACCAGTTTATAGGAAATAGTCACACTCTCCCTCCCTACAAAAGTTACCAAAAAATTACCTGGCACCTAATAAAAGGACGTGTATTACAGATCAGAGGCCACCATGCTCCTGTTCTACTTGTGGCAGGAATTCTATTGCTGGATGAGAAGTCTCCAACCCTGCCTGCAGGAGAAAAACTCTGAGGGAGCAGGATCACACAAAATAAGGAAATTTATCTCTACATCTGAAAAAGCTCTGCAGGCTACACCATGATGTGGCCTACGGCACAAATGTCCTACAGGCTATGAAATGTCCTGATTCTTATGAGGCCTGCCCAAGCAGAAAATGTTTTATTTGCTTTTGCAAAAATATGCTCATGAAACTTTGAAAGTACTAAGAATTAGCAATTGCTTGAAAGTGGTAACCATAGTTTCAAACTCACAGAGTGCTCGTAGTTTTTAAAAGTTAAACAGTGACAAGTTTTCAGGTTTCAGAGATGAAAATTTAGGTGGCTTTAAAGATAATTTTTCGTGTTTTGATGAAAATTAAAACATTTGTAATTTTTAGGTCTATTTCTGCTGATTGTTTTATTCCTCTGATATGCATCTGACTTTTTTTCTATAGCTTACTGTAAATTATATTAAATATAATATTTGCTTTAACTCCTTGCTTGTACATGGTATTAGAATTACTTCAAATTTACTATTTCGCTGAATGCTTTGTGCCTATTTGTACAAAAATGTGTCTACCTATGTTATGGCTACTTACATAGAAATTTATGAATATTTGTTATATTTTAATGATTGCTTTGTTGAAATTCCTGATATTTGCTCTGTCTGGACTATATAATGGCTTGGTTTCCCTTTTAATTAGTTAGCAGTGTTACTAGGATACAAGAAAACATTGCTGTGTTGCTTGCTATAAAATGCAAGTATTTATGGATATCAATATATCAAGATTTTATAACATAAGAATAAATAGAAAGAAGGAAAGAGTAAAAACTATTCTCTCAAAATTTGCTATGAATGGGGAGAAAAATATAGCTTCAGGAAGACATAGGATAAAAGTAAGCTTTTTGTTTTATGACAGACATTTGAGCCCATTGATATAACTGAGAGAAAAGAGGTACTGAGAGGAAGAAGATACAAGAAATATGAATTGATGGAGCAAAGACTTGGAGAATATGTATGGAGAACTCGGAGAGATTACCTTTCAACAAGAGTAGATACATATCTTCTCTTTACAGGAGAGATAAAGGAGGATACAGATGCAAAGATGTTTGGAGATGGAGGGTCTGCAGGGCCAAAATGTATAGGGATTCTTACCTGAAAAATTCATGTTCTTCTGAATTACCACATCATAGTGAAAGCAAAAAAGGCAAGGTTCTTAAGAATAACTTAAAAATTTAAATAGTAGCTGTTGGAGGACTGGAGAGGGATGGCAACTATGGACATGGAAGACTGCCAAGTAGCAGTGAGAGTCCAAAGCTGGAAGTTGGAGACTTCCACTTCTGGGGAAAATGTAGGATATTGTGGCAGGCTAATATCCTGTTTTAAAAAATCAGAAAGATTAAAATATCATATGTTTAAAGGTGTCAGAGAGCTGTACATGTAACAAGATCTCTGGCCTTTTTTTCTCTAAGGAAATTTGCTAATTCTGTTTGTAGGCTTAAGAAGAAAACCTCTGCTGGAGAAAAGAAGACAAGCAAGTATTTAGTGAGCAGTAGTGCCTGGAGTAACAAATAGGACACTTAAAAGCTTTAAAGGCATAACTAATTTTCTCTTCATTCTGGGGCAGCACAAGGAGCTGGACCAAACCTGATAAAAGGCAGAGTTAACTCTCTAATAGTCTCACGGGCTTGGAATCAATGTACTGCCTGATACATGTATCATCTTCAGGCATATACTCAGTGTCCCGCTCAAAATATTTGCCTTTGGACTGAGTAGAGTGAACGGCTGGAGAGCTGAGCTGGAAACCTCTAAGAGGCAGAACTGTATCTCCCATAGTCTCTCAGGTTCAGAAGACAAAAATCTAATAGGCTCATCATCAACAGACTGGGATGGCCACACCTGAGTAATAGAGGCAAACAAGACAAAGAGTAAATTTAAAACTAGAACTAAACACAGACAAACATCCATGATTGGATTAGGCCTTCAGCCCCTCCGCCTAAGAAGAAATAAACTCTTCTGGTGGAAGGACTATCTGGAGCATCTATCATTCCTGTATATGCATTATCTATCATAAAATTACTTGACATGCATAGAGACAACAACACATGACTGATCAAGAGAGGAAACAACAGATCTTTTTAGAAGAAGACTATATTAGTCTGCTATAATGGAACACCTGAGGATGGGCAACTTACAAAAAAAGATTTATTTGGCTCATGGTTCTGCAGGCTGTACAGGAAGCATGGTGCCAGTATTTGCCTCTGATGAGGGACTCAGGAAGCTTTAATCATTGTAGAAGGCAAAAGGAGAGTGGGTGTGTCACATGGCAAGCGAGGAAGCAAGAGAGAGATGGGAAAGTGCGATACTCTAATTAAACAACTAGTTTACTTGAATTAACAGAGAAATTGTAAACATGAAATAATTATAGAAGAAAAAATAATCCCCTTCACCCTCAACACTAACATCATAAACTAGGCAATTATGTCTGCTCTTATAATTTCTACTAACATTGTACTGAAGATTATACAGCCAGTACAAGGCAAGATGGTAGGAGGGACTGACCGTAAAAGTGTTAGGAAGGATGTAGAACAAATGGAACTCTTAAACACTGATAGTGAAAATGTAAAACGGTAAAATCACTTTGGACAACATTTTAGAAGTTTCTTCAAAAGTTAATCATATGCCTGTGGGTCTGAACTAACCACTGAACTCCTCGGTATTTGCCTAAGAGAACTAAAGACATATTTTCAGAAGTAATTAATTATACATGAATATTTACAGCAACATTTCATAATAGCTAAAAACTGGGAACATTACAAATGCTCATCAACAGGTGACTATAGAAACCAAATGAAGTATATCTATACAATGGAATAACACCCAGCAAAAAAAAGAATAAACTACTGATACATGCAACATGCTTGAATCATTTTTTTTAAAGTGTTCTAAAAGAAAGAAGCTGGACAAAAATTGCTACATACTGTATGATTCCATTTATATAAACTCTAGAAAATGTAAAAGTATCAAAGATAAAGAAAACATCAGTAATTGCCTGGGGGTAGAAGGATGGATTAAAAGAAGTACAAAGAAATTTTGGGGGTGATATGTTTATTAACTTGATTGCCATGATGGTTTCACGTGCAGAGACAAATATGAAGAGTTATCAACATCCTTAACCTGATGAAGGTTATCTACAAAAGACTTTTGGAAAACATCATGCTTAATGGTAAAATACTGAATGCTCTTTCCTAAGCAAAGATTGGGAAGTAGGCCGAGAAGTCCACTTTTATCACTTCTATACAATATTGCACTGGAGGTTCTATCCATTGCAATAAAGCAACAAAAGGAAACGAGGGAGGAAGTGCATAAGGATCAGAAAGGAAACAGTAAAACTACCTCTTTTGTAGATCCCATGACTGGTAAAATTAAAGATCCATTCTATTTATAAACATTAGACTGAACACTTGGGAACAAATTCATCAAAAGACTTATACAGTGAAAACTGTGAAACACTGTTGAGAGAAATCAAAGACCAAACAAATGGAGAGATACACCATGTTTATAAACTAGTTACTACTGTTAACAAGTTATTTCTCCCCATATTGATCTAAAACCTGAATCATAATTCCAACAAGCAATCGATAAACCTATTCTAAAATTTATATAGAAGCTCAAAAGGCCTATAATTTCCAAAAGAATATTTTTAAAAATCACAATGTTGGAAGACTTATACTGACTTCAAGACTAACCACAAATCTACCATAATCAAAACAGTGTGGTACTGACATAAAGAATAGTAAGTAGACCTATGATAAATAGAACAGATCGGAGGACCAAGAAATAGACACGCTATTACAGAGTCATGATTTTCAACAAAGAAACCCAAGAAATCCAATAGAAAAGAAAAGCCTTTACAGCAAATAATCCTGGAATAACTGCATATCCATATGAAAAAATGAACCTCCAATCTCTACATCACACCTTAATCAAATATTAATTTGAGATTATAATACTCCTAAACATAAAAGCTAAAACTATAAAATTTTTGTGGAAAAATAACGGAACATCTTAGTGATTTAAGACTAGACAAAAATTTCTTGGGTCACAGAAAGCAATAACCATAAAAATAGATCAAGTAGATTTCAAAATTTAAAACTGCTCGCCAGATATCAATAAGAAAATGAATAAGCAAGATACAGTTTTGGAGAAAATATAGAACATATATCTGTCAAAGGATTAGAATCTAGGATACCTAAGAACTAGATAGTCCAATAAAACATGAACAAAATATTTAAAATATATACTTCACAAAGGAAGATATATGAATGTCCAAAAAGCACATGAAAAAGTGCTCAGTATCACTGGTCGTTAGAAAAATGCAAATAAAAATCATAATGAGATATTTTATGTCTATTGAAATGACTAAAATATATCTTAATATCTAAATTTATAATAGTACTAGTCTGATTTTGTCCACTAGTGTTATGCAGTTCCAGTTACAGGATTGGAGAAACCAGATATTCAGATTTAATCAAGCAAATGGGATGGAAGGTCAGGAGCCTTGAACATAGAAACAAGAATGACAAACTGGATCACTGTTTCTAGACTAGAAAGGGAAGGAAGTAAGTACAGGTGTAGAGTTGGGAGATTAGTAGGGAAACACGGGATCAAGGAATTTGATGAATTTCTGAATGTGAACATCTGAAAATGCTGATTTTGCTTTCATTAGTCTGTTTTGTTAACCCAGAAAGGATGTAATATTTGTTCCATATGGTAAGAATTAAGAAAATTATTTTTACACAAAAAAAAACAAGTTTAATACCTTCAATGCTGTATATTTGTACTTTTTCCTCTGGCACAGTAACTGCTTCCCATTGATGATCCTTAAATTTAAAAACAGGTTTTGGCCATAAATAATTTATTTCTGATTTACAGTTTCTTTAAATATCAAATTTTAAGTTCCATGAACTATCAATATTTTTTTACTGGTCACTAACTAGTTTATATAACACCTTTCTTGCTCCACCAATTAACTACATATTATATATTACATTTAATGTATTTGTTCATTCTTAAAACAAAATGTTTTTGACAATTTACTATCCTTAACCAAAAAAGGAATGACTGTTAATATTTATTAGAGGATACCCTTTTTAAAAATGTTACCAAGTCTTTTTATGTTTTCTTTGAAGTATTTTATGAAGTCATACTCATTCCTCAATTCCTACTCCTACTACCTATTCCAGGTCCTGTAACCACAATACTCATTAACAGATTGTCCTTTGATTTAAACATGAATGTGCATGATAATAACCTAAAATGTTTGCTCCAAGTATTTTCATTGAAAATTTGTATAACTGAATGATACTGAATTCACAAAGTTACAGTAAAAATTAAATACCATTCCTGGCTGGGCGCGGTGGCTCACGCCTGTAATCCCAGCACTTTGGGGGGCCAAGGCAGGTGCATCACGAGGTCAGGAGATCGAAACCATCCTGGCTAACACAGTGAAACCCCATCTCTACTAAAAATACAAAAAAAAATTAGCCGGGCGTGGTGGCGGGTGCCTGTAGTTCCAGCTACTCGGGAGGCTGAGGCAGGAGAATGGCGTGAACCCAGGAGGCGGAACTTGCAGTGAGCCGAGATGATGCCACTGCACTCCAGCCTGGGCGACAGAGCGAGACTCCCTCTCAAAAAAACAAAAACAAAAACAAACAAAAAAGCCAAAAAATTAAATACTTTTGTTATTTAAGGACAACCCATTCCTGAGAAATTCCTCTAAATCCTTATTATTTTCACTAATTCCTTTCTCTTCTCTACCTTTATCCATTACCTCAAAACCTCAGGATCAGGAGGAAACGGGTGGTATTCTAATTTTTCCCCAAAGCTTTGAGCAGCCTCATATTTCTCTGTGTGTAAAAAACTTGCTCTTTTGAGGAATATCTCAGCTGGCATACTCTATTCCCAATAATTGCTATCATCTACCAACTTAAAACTGATTCTTCCTTATATATCAAGGCACTTAGTTCACTTTTTAAAAAACACACATAATGGCAATTTTCAAACAGATTATTTTAAATCAGAAATCATAGTATTATAAACCCAAAATATGCCCTCACCCAGCTTCAACAGTTATCAATATGTTATAGCAATTTTGTTCCATTTTCACCTCCTACTCTCCCACCATTATACTCCTTCCTCCTCTTGACCTCAATTTTTTCCTTCAACCTCTCCCTATCTGCCCTTCACCATCAATTTATGAAAGCTCTTATCATTAAAATACCTAATAAAAACCCCTACTTTGAGTCCACATCTCATACTATCTCTTTCCTTAACTTGATGTCTTTACTTCCTTAGCAAATATTTTAACTTTCTAGGAATGCCTAAACTCTTCATCGCGTGAGTGAAACTGCTCTTTCATGGGTTACAAGTTTGTATTTAACCTCACCTCTCAGGAATATCTCACTGTGTTGATCATTTCCTCTCATAAAACCTCCTTTCCTTTGTCGTCCATAACACTATACCCTTTTAATTTGTTCCCTTTTGGCCGATTCTTCAAGTATCCTTATAGCTAAAATCTCTTTTACTTATCCTGTAGAAACTGGTTTTTCATAGTTCTTTCATGTAGGCACTCATTAAAAACCATGGTTCTGTCATTCATATACAGATAGCTTCTATATCTCTACTTATGACTCAATTTCCATCTAGCTACCCAAATTTTAGTAATCCTTCTTCTTTTTAAAAAAATTACAAACAAATCACCAAGTTTGCTCAGTTCTATCTCCTCTCAAGTCTTTCTGGATTCTATCAATTTCCATCCATGCCCATTGTTATATCTCAAAACCATCCCACAATTATTTCTCACCTGGATTATTGCAAAAGCCTCCTAACTGCCCCTAGTCTTGTTCCTTTGTAATCCATTCTCCCCAGTCTATTTTTGTCCATTTCCCCTACCACGGGGCATCTTTTACACAAATGTGTTCTCCAGTGCCTAGTACATACGTGACACATAGTTCTCAATAGATATTCATTGAACTGATGTTACCTCTTACTTAAAATTCTCCTTTGGCTCCACACTTCCTATATTTTTCCAATCCCCTATGCCCTCTATATATCTTTCAATTCTTTCAATGTTCTGTTTACTCATTCTTGCAACAAACATAAGCCACTGAACAGCTATAAACAAAAAAAAAAAGTCCCTGATCTTATTAATCTTACACTCTATGCAGGAAAGTAGACAACAAACAACAAATAAACAAAATGATTTTAAATAATAACTACTATAAAGGAAATAAGACAATGTGGAATAATGTGGCTGTGAGGCTGCTTTACATTGAGTAACCTGAGAATACTCTATGAGAAGGCAACATTTGTGCTTAAATCTAATCAGGAAGGACTAAGATGCAAGGACCTGCAGGCAGTGGTCTATGCAGAAGAACTAAGTAGTAGAAAGACCTAAGATTAGCATAATCTGTGTTAGAGAAATAGAAAAACAAATGTGACTGGAACACAGTCATCATAGAAAATACATGAAATATCAGAGAAACAGCCAGAGACCAGGCCACAAAAAGCCTTGTATGCCATGTCAGAGAGACAGAAGGAGGATTCAAGGAGCCACTGTGGAGAATGGCTTTTATGGAGAGCAAGAGAGAATAAAGGAATAACATATTACAACTATGGAAATTCAGGGGAGAGAGGATTCTAACTATAGTTTTGGAAAGAAGAGTCCCCCAGTATCTTGATCAGTGTCTGGAACACAGTAGGTATTAAATACTTATATATGCATTTTATACTTTCCCTATCATGTATACTGCTACAGTGTAATTGATTTTTTTTTTTTTTTTTTTTTTTTTTTTTTTTTTGTTTCACACTGTCGCCCAGGCTGGAATGCAGTGGCCCAATCTGGGCTCACTGCAAGCTCCGCCTCCCGGGTTCATGCCATTCTCCTGCCTCAGCCTCCCGAGTAGCTGGGACTACAGGTGCCTGCCACCACACCCGGCTAATTTTTGTATTTTTAGTAGAGGTGGGGTTTCATGGTATTTAATTGCTTATTTTTTTATTTCAATAATCCATTAGACCAAGCTGAATGAAGGAACACTGCCGTATTTATTTCCTTTATAGTAGTTACTGCCATCTAATAACAATACTTTTCTCCCAAAATGAAATACTACTAGACTGGTGCAAAAGTAATTGCAGTTTCTGCCATTGAAAGTAATGGTTTCTGCCACTGAAAGTAAAAGAACCGCAATTACTTTTGCACCTGCCTAAGTAGCTCCTCGAAAAACAATCAGCTTAAAACACTCCTACAAACCTGCAGGAGAAATACACTAATGGAAACTGTCAGTGCTCCCTAAGAAGCAGTGCTAGTCATTGGAACTCAATTTTTAAGCATTCTAAGAAGGTACTTTAAAATGAAAAGCAATAAAGGCATGTGGAAATCCTAAAAAGCATTTGGTTAATGTTCATCTATAAAATGTTTACCTGGAATAAATAGCAGGATTCTATAAGAAACAGACTAAAAAGACTAAAGCCTTATTATAATATCACCAGCCACAACCGGATTAGTAAATTGCTGATCAACTCTTACTCAGATTTTGGCAAATAGACTACACAATTTAAGCTAAATGTATGCAAGTGTATCAAATATGAGGTGGTAGCTATTATGAAATAATGGCTCAAGGATTTTCCTTAGGTAAAACATATTCAGGTCAGCAGAAAATATGACACCTATTTGGAAGATCTGAGCACAGCTATGATAAAGCATAGGAAGAAAAAAAACTAAAATTAACTCCCAATCAAGTCCTATTTCCAAAGAGAAGATTTTATGAATGATTAAGTTAGGACCACTTGTCACTATCTGTTAATGTTTTCAATAGAGTGCCTCTGTATTTGAGTAACTGTTCCCTTTTCTAAAGTCAGTTCACTTTGTTTATGTGAATATAAAATTGAATCTGTCATGAATTAACATTTATTTTTGAAAAGCTTATGTTAAAAAAATTAGTATTAAAATTTAGCATTATTTTTTCTCATACAATAAAACATCAGAAGTAATTTTCATTTATAATTAGCTTGGTAGGTCGCTATGCTAATCAAATTACTAGAGCTAATGTTAAAATCTATGTAAAGACTGGCTAAAACATAAAAATAAATCCACATTCTTATAGTGAGTAAAAATCTTATATATACATATACATAAAGAATAATACCAAGGAAATAAAACTTACATCATTATCTCCAGCAATGTAGAATGAGAGAGTCTGACTCCCAAGATTAAAATCAATCCAAAATTCCTCAAGTTTTTCATCTGATGGTATTTGCAGCTAATAAAATAAACATACAAAACTGGCATATACAATGATTTAAAAATAACAGAAAATTACGATGTTATATTCATGGCTAAAGCAAGAAAACAAAGCTAGAAGGGGAGAGAAGAGAAAGAATAGACAAGTATAATATTTAGATAAATTTAAAAACAATAAAATAAAATGCTACTTTAATATTTTATAAAAAATCAACTAGCTCCAAGAAATCATGAATATTCCAAGTGCTAATAAAGGTTGAAAGTACTAGTTTGAATAGGTTCAGACATGATAAATCAATAATGGTCTTAAGGAAACAGGAGAAAATGTGGACTACAGCCTTTATTTTTCAGTTATTCTTGGCAATGAATATGCTGTTCCATAAAATTTCTCCTGGTATCACTGTCAGATACAGAATACTAGATCAGCTATATTCATGATCTAATTACAACTATTTTTAATGTTCTTATTCATTTTTAACTCATAATTCAATTGACTATCAAAATTCATACAGTAACTAAAATAATGTGTTAAGTTAAAATTTTACCTCATATTTATCAAGAAATGCTGATAAACAAGGAAATGTAAAGACCCTGAAATAAAAAGTAGTTTAAGAAAAAAATAAATAAGCTTTCACAGCATATCTTGTCCAGCAATAGAAATCATGCCTAGAATCAAAAGGAAATCAGGCAGTGGTCATAATAATTGAAATAAAATAATATTTCCCTCTTTAATACTTTCCAAAATACATGTTCAGTGGACATTTATGTAGAGAAAACCATATTACTTTGAGGATACTATTCAATCTACCATTTTGACTAAAATGATTGCACCAAATGTTTGTGTGTGTGATATGGGTTGGTTCTGTGTCCCCACCCAAATCTCATCTTGAATGGTACTATCATAATTCCCACGTGAGGGACCAGGTGGGAGATAACTGAATCATGGGGGCATTTTCTCCCATACTGTTCTCATGGTAGTGAGTAAGTCTCATGAGATCTGACGGTTTTATCAGGGGTTTCTGCTTTTGCATCTTCCTCATTCTCTCTTTGCCTGCTGCTATCCATGTAAGATGTGACTTGCTCCTCCTCCTCGCCTTCCACTATGATTTTGAGGCTTCCCCAGTTACGTGGAACTTTAAGTTCAATTACATCTTTTTCTTTTGTAAATTTCTCAGTCTCCGGTATGTCTTTATCAGCAGTATGAAAACAGACTAATACAGTGTACTATCAAATATAAGCAGTTTCCTGATTTAGCTTATTAATATACGTTTTCACAGAACCTAAATCAGAAAAGAATACAAGTGAATAATTATGTTAAAAATGGTTAAATTTACAGAATGCTTTCTTAGATACTATTTTAAATATTTAGCATATTATATCTCATTTAATCTATACCACAAACATATGAGGTAGTTATTAATATTATATAACAGCTAAGGAAACTGAGGCATGTAAGTTAAATAATTTGCCCAATATTAGAACAGGAAGAGAGGAACTTATAGATTCAAATCCAGGTAATATGACTTCTTGCACAACCCTGACAATACTTTTAATTTCTTTAGTAAGTACAGTAAATGTGAACTCATTCATCCAATAATTGTGTTGAACATCTATAAAGTGCCAGGCATTGCAAATTCTGTTTTTCGGTCGTTATAAAAAAATGATTAAAATTTACATTACATATCCTTTCATGCCCCTCAGAAAGATCCTACTTACTGTATGTTAATTATAAAGGAAGATGATTTGTTTCCTATATATTTACATTCTAGCATATGGATGAAGGAGGCGATTCAAGTAATAAATATGTCTAGATTTTTATTATCCCTCAAACATTAAATAATAATGGATATGCAACTCAAATATATCCAAAGTTATTAATTAATATGAATTAAACAGAAATGAACTTTTCCCTCTAAAAAGTACAAAATAAAACAAGGCCAGTGCAGAATTATTTCAGATTACTGGTGTAGTAATTTGCTAAAATCATGTTATTGTTTTAAATTATCTAAGAACATTTTACACTACAACATACAAGAACAAATAAAGTTAAATGTATAAAGATGCAACACTGGGTGCTCACTCTTGAGCTCTAGTTCTTTGTCAGTAAATGGTTGTATCTTGCATTAAGTTTACCTTCTTTTGTCTCCAAGCATGCCATTTACAAGGTTGAGAAATATCCTGCAATCCTAATTTTAAAGAGAAATACTTTTAAAAAATTAAAATAATTTTTAAAAATTCACAAATTTCTGTTATTGTTACACAACTTACTGTTTCAAATTCAGAGTCCTTAATTCTTTTAAATGCCTTAGCAATAAAATCCATTGAAAACCACTGATGTGCCAGTTCTTGCCTTTGTTTTTCTGTGGTCATTCTACATAAAGCTTCTACAATGCCTACCTGTAAGTCATAATCTATTAAAAAAATAGTTAATGTTTGATTTACAATTATGAAAATTAAGTTCATAAAAGACCAGATGTTTTATAAGGTATTAGAACAAGAGAAGAATATATTAGTGTAATTTATTAATTTATTAATATTTTCTTCATATGGATTAGAAATCTCATCATTTGAAGAATTAACACAGCCCAAATAACAAGTGTGCTAACAGAAGAAATAAGTAAAATTTTTTAAAAATTTGAGACTTCTAAATATTCAAAGACACTGCCATAAAATGCGAAGTAACCCATACAGTTGTAAGTTACAAATTCTGTTTTCCTCTCATGTAACATGTTTAGTTATCCCACAGTACTTTAAACCATGATTTATTCTACATGTAAATCACCATATTACAATTCATTCACAAAAAGCTTAGAAAATAAATTTTAAGTTATTTTAATAAACACATTGTTTAAAAACAAATACATCAATACCAAGAATATTAGACATCCTAATTTCATAAAATACTGTCTGAGGAATTTCTTAGCACAAGTAGTTCAGGTCTATTGAAAAATTAAGATATTATATTACGCTATTATGTTAAGCTATTAAGTTTTAATTAAGCTATTATATTAAGCTATTAAATTAAGCTATTAATTTAAGCTATTATCTTAAGCTATTATATTATTCATAAGTCTACCATTAGGTACAAATTGTATGTATCTAATGCCTACTGTCATAAATTATTTTTGTCCCAAAGATAAATTTTACTTATATTTATTAAAAATTGCTTAATTGTACCTAAAGTTTATAATTACCTCAGTCTCACATTGCTATGCTAATATTTTAACTAAAAAATACTATCTGCTATTCATAAATATGGAAAAATTTTAGATTTTGAAAAGACATACTTACCTCCAGCATCTAAAATCCTTTCTCCCATACTACTCCTGTGAATCAAAATAACAGATTATAAAACGGACCAGTATCAATTAAAATAGGAAGTCCACATGTTTAGGAGGAAAAGAAACTTCACTAAAATTTACAATTGGCTAATATCACTGACTTTTGCAGAAATTATATACATATACTAAATTATATTAAAAAGCTGCAACAGTTTATCAGTTTCATTATTAATGCAAACTCATGGTTGTCTTACTGTCTTATAAAACATTTTTAAATTATTGATTTTAAGAATAAAAACAGCCGGGCGTGGTGGCTCACGCCTGTAATCCCAGCAATCTGGGAGGCCAAGGCGGGCGGATCAAGAGGTCAGATCAAGACCACGGTGAAACCCTGTCTCTACTAAAAATACAAAAAATTAGCCGGGTGTGGTGGCGGCCACCTGTAGTCCCAGCTACTCAGGAGGCTGAGGCAGGAGAATGGCATGAACCTGGGAGGCGGAGCTTGCAGTGAGCCGAGATCGCGCCACTGCACTCCAGCCTGGGCGACAGAGCGAGACTCCATCTCAGAAAAAAAAAAAAAAAAAAAAGAATAAAAACAATATAGTACAGATTATTACATGAGAATTAACATTTCTTGGTTAGAGAGTATTTTCCGGGCATCTTGAGGCATTTTGTCAAGCATAGCATTCATTTTTTTAATTATCTAGAAAAGAAAAAAAGATAATGCATTAACTTTATATTCAGTGAAACACTATTTAGAGAAATACTCTAAGCACATAAACTTAGAAGCCTAATTTTTTCTTAATCAGAGTTTTATTATAGGAATGGAGTAGGATGGAGGAAAGAATATATAAAGTATAAAACAGGCCAGGCATGGTGGCTCACGCCTATAATACCAGCGCTTATGGGTGGCCGAGCTGGGCGGATCACTTGATGTCAGGAGTTCGAGATCAGCCTGGCCAACATAGTGAAACCCTGTCTCTACCAAAAATACAAAAATTAGATGGGCGTGGTAACGCGCACCTGTAATCCAAGTTACTCAGGAGGGAGGCAGGAGAAGCACTTGAACCTGGGAGGCAGAGGTTGCAGTGAGCTGAGATTGCGCCACTGCACTCCAGCCTGGGCAGATAGAGCAAGACTCTCTCAAAAAAATAAAAATAATAAAGTGTAAAATAATGAATATAAAAACATTAACTATAGAATATCAAAAATAGAATATAACATGACTCCTGTACTTAAAGCACTTGTACTTTTTGCAATAAAAGTTATATTTATTTTAACTCCATTAGAAGATCTGAGGAAGCCAAAAATGTTACTTTGTTCTTATGATGATAGTATATGTACACACATAAATATACTAATACAGATTATTTTTAGCATTTAACTACTTAAGCACCCCAAAAATCTGGGTGGTATAATTTATTTCCATTTGCGCTATATGCATATATAAACCCATATGGTTATAAATTTTCAGTAACTATTTAGGAAATATGTCAGGCAATAGATTGTTAAGATGATAGAAATATACTCCAAGGTAAGTAATTTAGTCCTAGATGAAATAAATTTTCAATTTAATTGCTATTGATTTTCTTCACTTTCTCATTTTTAGTTTTTAAAACACAAACAAATAAATGACTTTACCTCTTGCTGAATACAAATATTCACTCTTGAGTCAATAACCAGGGAACAAATGCGAGGTACGAAACTTTCCACTACTTGTTTTTTACCTGAATAAAAGTGTTAAATTATTGATAAATGTTCATTTCAAATCCTCTCAACTGTCAGTCTTTTCTTATAAGAGTTAGCAGAAAGGGGCCAGGCATGGTAACTCAGGCCTATAATCCTAGCACTTTGGAAGGCCCAGGTGGGTAGACTGCTTGAGCCCAGGAGTTCGAGACCAGTCTGGGCAACATGGCAAAATCCTGTCTGTACAAAAATTAGCCAGGCACCTGTAATCCCAGCTACCCGGGAAGCTGAGGTGGGACAATCACCTGAGCACAGGAGGTCAAGGCTGCAGTGAGCCATGATTGTGCCACCGTACTCCAGCCTGGGTGACAGAGTGAGACCCTGTCTCAAAAAATAAAAATAAATAAGAGTTAGTGGAAAGGATATACTACTGCAGTTCAGAAGAATGCCCACTAGGGCTTGGGATGAGAAAGAATGAAATTAAGTCCTAATTCTATTTGGCCTTGCAAAAAACACCATTCAACAAATGTGACTGATTTTAATACTGTCAAGGGACAACTCCAGATCTAGTTTCTAACTGCAGGCATATAAGGAGGTATTTTCTTTTTAGATTAAGTAAATATAGTTCAAAATTGAAAAGTTCAAATCTGAGGCTTTTACCAAAACTGACCTCATTAATTTTTAGTTAAACATCAAAAATTTTTATACCCATTAAGACCAACACATCTTAACCCCAATGAAGTTCTAAATGATGTGAGCCACTTTTAGGTTAACACATTTTTGAAAGATGAGGCTTTATCAATACTGAGTATATTCAGAGGAATGTGTACATGCTGTTTCATAATGCAAATTCTAAAAATAACTTTAAACAATGGAAATACTGTAACAACAAATGTACAATTTTCCAAAGTGACTACATAAAAAGAAAAAAAGTACTTAGATGAAAAGATACAATTATTTACTTTAAAAATCAGGTGGATCACTTTATAATTAATTGCTGGTGTTTAGGACTGTTTTTCCCTAAAAACTTAAAAATTTAAACAACATTGTTATGTAGCAAAATCAATGAAGAGGTAGGATTATTATTTAAATCAACGGCAATCTGTTTAAAACTTTTTGGCTCTGAAGGCAGCAAGTACTTTATCTATAAATAATTCACCACCCTCACTGACCAATCCTAGGTAAGTCTTCTTCAGTCAACACAGAGCTAAAATAACTTGGATCTGATTGTTTGGCACAAGCAGGCCACAAGTCAAAGAATGAGTAGTAACATATTCTTTATTCTCAATTTACTATTGAAAAATTGTTCCATTAGATCAAAGGTTGGCAAACTATGGCCCACAAACTAAATGTAACTCACTGCCTGTTTTTGCATGACTGTATTACTCACCAGCAAGTGCTCTGTGAAAACTATTTGAATCTATCATGTTTTATTAAAACAGTACTGTCAAAGGTGAACATCACTCACTCTCGTCAATTTAGCTATGGTCAGTTATTTGAATTTTTGTCAGAAGCAGAAGCTGAGTATTCCGACTTTCCCTACCACACAGCAGTCCAATGGCAGTGGGGTTTTATTGTGACTTTTTGATATCCAGCACCAAGACCGAAATTTTTCTGAACAAGAACTATCCTCAACCCTTATTGTTGAATACTGAATGGTTTTGGTAATTAGCACTGGCTGCAGAGTTGACAATGTTTCTAAATGAACTAGGCACAAAATTACAAGAAAAAATAATGCTTGTATCATGAACTTAACACTGCAATGAAGTCATTCTGATAACTAAGGTGATCTGAAAGGCAAGTAATGCTATGCTGCTTTATACACTTCACAGGCTGTCAAAAGTTAAAACAGGAAGCAACATCTCCATTACCACACAAATTTGCAGGTGATATATTTTTTCAAAACTCCAACTACAGGTCTAGCAGTGTTTCTGGGATTTGTTTTAAGTACTAAGGAAATTTCCACATTTCAAAATTCATTTAATTGTGCAATTGGGAAGCTTCCACATAACCTTCAATTGGAAGTGATCAATCTGCAATGCAATGACATTCTAAAATGCAAATGTTAAGAACCTAACAGTTCTATTAATGCCTTTCAAGTGATGAACACGCTCAATTAAAAGCATGTTTATGCAGTGATACCAGTATTTGGCATTGTCTGCATGAAAAGCCATTTTCTAATGTGACATACATAAAACCTCATTATAGATAGGGATTAACAAATGAACATTTACAATCAATTTTGCAAACAAAACACTAACTCTGAACCCTAATTAAGTGAAATGTTATTCTCTCACAAAAAGAATGCAAGTTTCCTTATTAGTAGACCTATATTACAAAAAAATTGTACAACTATTATATTTTCAATGGCATCAATAAATTATTTGTAGAAATTTGTTTTTCTTTCTTGTTATACAAGTACCTACATAATATTCTTAATTGTTTTTCTCTTGGACTACAAAGTCTAAAATATTTCTATCTGGCCCTTTACAGGAAAAGTTTGTTGATCCTTGAATCAGATAATGGGTTCTTAATACTAGGACAATACTATGGGAATTGTAAAATTATACTAAAGCTCTAACGGTAATTTATTATTCCAATAGAAAATAAGTGTTTATTATACCTTCATCACTGACATCATGTATGACCTGAAAAAAAAGTGAATAATATTTAATTTACAAGTTACTATATATTACAAACCATTACAATATTATAAACCATTACAAATGGTACTGAAATGACAGATTACATTTTAACTCATAGCATATTTATTTTTTATTAACTAACCATTTAATTATATTTACCAGAATAAATGCTTTATACAATCTGAGCAGACCAATCCAACCAAGGCACCAACCAATCTGTTAGTGACTTTTAGGCTCAGGGCACAGAGATCACAAATTGTTTTTTAAATAAACACATGCTTTATAAACATCAGTGTAATCAATGTGATTTTTACCAGCAGAAGATCAACTAAGTCTTCTATCATATTTAGAACAGCTTCATCTTTTGAATTTCCTTGACTCTGAATAATCTCCTTGGATTTTTCAAACCAGGCAACCATGTAAAAAGAGGAATGAACTTATTACTTTGAGTTTCATTTTAATAATTTTAAGAATGTACTTGTCTTTGTATAAACAGTAAGCCTAGGAATAAAGACACACTGAAACTAAAATTTTAGTATTGTATCAAAATAAATTCATGTTTTTAAAGATCTTTTTTTTTTAAACTATCTTTTCCCATTGTTTAAAATGGGAATAGATGGAGTTAATCTTCATTCCATGTAGCAGATCCTTATTTCCCCTTCAAATTCCTAGTTAGGGTACATTTATTATAATAGAAAGAAGTAAATTATCATCACAATTTAGACAATTTTTGATATTGTTACTATATGAAAAGTTTTCATATTATTTTATCCTAATCAATTCAGATATTTGAGTACATACATCTCAGATACTATTCTAGGTGCCAATAATGTAGCAATGAACAAAACAGACAAAAATCAATATCCTGCATTCTAGCATGGGAGACAGATAAACAATATAAAAACAAAAAATGAAGTTAGAGAATAAGAAGAGTTAAAGAGTCAATAAAGCAAGTAAAGGCCTTAAGGAGCTTAAACTCACATGATTATCAAGGAGTCTGTACAGTTTTCTTGTGATCTTTGTATTTGTAACATATATCACAAGTTATAGAAATGTTTTATTCCCAAAATTGTACATAAAGTTCCTAAATTTATTTTCAACAATTTGGATTTCTTATTTGAAAGCGTATCTAATATTTCATTCACATGAATATGTTACATATTCTATACTTATCTTTTGTATTAGTCCTTGTTTTATCATTGTTAGAAGTCCAGCTTGCCCCAATACACTGATATTTTTGCCACATCTTCCAACAGAAACCAAAATGGCCGAAACATTGTGGATATCCTCTTTATTAAGTTCCTGAAATAAAAGCTATACATTTAAATTTCTGTAAACACAAAACAGTATGAAACAGACATTGTACAAGGAGTATTGCACACATATTTTAATCTTCACAAATCCTGAAAGATGGTCATTCTAATCATCTCTATATTGCAACACATGAAAATGTGGTTTAAGAATGCGACCTGCCCAAAGTCATACAGTCAGGGAATGACAAACTCAGGACAAAAATGGAAATCTGTATAAATCCAAGAAACTTTATACTATGATACAATGAACCAGCTACTTTCCATTCTAAAAAGCTCCATGTATTTAAAAGAAACAAGAAATTTTTATTCAATTTCTTGAATTCATAAAGAATCTCAGATACTGGGGGGATTATCAATAATCACCTTTTATCATGTATGAAAATGCCTTAAATATGATCAATTAAATTTAAAGTTTGGGGTGATTTTTATGTTTTAGTTTTGACAGAAGTAGGCATTGTCTATGTAACATCAAGTATACACTGATAGGTGTTTTTAAAAATCTATCAACTTGTTCAAACTTCAAAGAGCTGAAGTATTTTTTCCCCAATTTCAGCCACAGTTGATAGTAAACCCCATGTGAACACATATTTTTGTATTTTTTATTTGGGAAATGACATTCCAATGTGTTGAAATTCCTCAAACAAACAAAAAAAAATAAGCAAATGGTGAAATAAGCATTTATTTATGTAATCATAACTGAGCTTGCCCAAGCCTTTCTATTCATTTTTTTCTAATGGAGTACTTCCTTCTAAAACTAGAGTTCTATCTAATAATTGTAACAACCATTGAGCAAAAATGAATATTTACCCTGCATATAAGGTTGTCCACCTTGTGGAAAAACTGTTTGCTGCATTTAATCTTCACATCTTCACAAACATCAATTTGCAAAAGTGTTTTCAAAGGTTTGAAATCATTTTTTCTTAAAGCATCATCAACGCATTTTTCCAAGTGCTAGAGAAATATATTTAATGGCACATATTGTATCAAAACCAAAATTAATTACCTATGCAATCTAGTAATTTGAGAACTGTTTCCACATGAAAACTCTCAAATGAACTCAAACTATTAATTCACTTATTTTTAAAAAATATGGCCACTGTTAAATTTGGAACAACTGAATTAGAAATTACATTTCTTTGATAATAAGACTGATTAAAAAATATTTTACTAATATTTCCAATTCATATCTTTTATTACCAAAGTCACCTTTATGTCAAACTCAACAGAAACTTGATGAAAAAAAAAATCAAAAAAACTTTAAAGTAACTAATACTTAATACAATGAATAAAAGCCTAGTATACCTGACTACGAATCTCTTAACAGGGTTTAAACAGTAAAGAAAAAAATGCATAAAGACAGGCAAAAGCACCTTTTAGAAATCATGCTAACATAACTTAAGCATTACCCTTATATAATATTTATAACCTTAATAAAATCTGCCATCCTTGCTATTAAAGTACAACTTCATTAATAACAAATGTTCACACTACAACCTGATCACTAAACAGGTTTGGCTGTGAACTACATACATATTGAATAGATTATTAACACTCACACTTTACCTAAATATACAATATCTTAATTTCCAAAACTTAATACAAAAATATCCAAGCATAAATTACACATGAATCAATGGACACTTTAAACTATTCTTGACCATTTCATAAAAACATGTAAGCTTTGTCATTGCTAAAAACATAACACTGAATACCTATAAGTAAACAAAAGGTGATTTTCAGAATTAAAATACTTTTGGTCTAGGACTACATACCTGGAGATCTGGTCTTATTGGCATTTTGACTTCATTAAAAAAAAAAGCAAGACAAAATAAACACCTATAAAAGAAAACATATATTTTCTGTATCTCACAATCTGTTTCATGTGTTTAACAGTTTAAATATCTTACACACATAAATAAGCATTTGTTATTTATACCAAAGGCAAATTGTTTAACTTCCTCACTAAACATTTACCTATTTATAAAATTACACATTTGAATATGATCAAAGAATTTTCCAGAGAAAAGCCTGAAGATCATTTACTCAAGCTCTTCCTTTTTATAGATTACTTAAATTAATATCAAATATCCTGCCAAAAGGTCAGAAAGCTAGTAAAAGAATAACCTGGATCTCCCATTCCAGTGATTCTCTGCTATACTTGTTCCATCTTTGAGAACAAGGAAAAAAAAAACTCTTGAATTAATGTGTACATGAAATTTGGACTATTAATATTCAAGAAGGAATATGCAGATATGCTAACAATGAACAGTATCAAAATATGAAAGAAAGGAGTGAGGAAAAGATAACCCAAACACATTTCATATGTCCACGAGAGTGTTCAGGAAAGAAAGAACCCCCAATTTCTTTCTTTAATTGAAATTAAGGTGAGGACCTCACTTCCCCAAAGTTATCTGGATCCTTAAAGACCATGGGGTGCAAATATAAATAACTGCCACAAATTAATACATTGCAATATGGCTAACAAAGTATCCACCAGGTTCTCAAGAGAGATTCCATGCTTATGAAAACAGGACCAAAAATAGATTAAATCACTTCAAACAATCCTATCTAGTGTGTTTCTGACAAGGATCGAAGATAAAGGTCATTTATTCTCCCTGCCATGAACACCTAAGGAATTAATATTATTTTGGTCAAGAAAATGCAAATCATTGCTGTAGTCATCCTCAAAGCTCTGTATCCCTATTTTGCTTTGTAGAATATACGTAATTATTTGCCTGCCTTTTTTGGAGCAAAGTACTAAAGGTCATTCTGAGAGGAACCATGTGCCTGATAGTATTATTCATTTATAAATAATAAAGTCTGATGATGTTTTTACCATCTCATTTTAATAATTATGGAAATGTTTTTTAAAAATATTGTATGTTACAAGACTCCATGTCTACAAAAAAAATTTTTTTAAATTAGCTGGGTATGGTGGTGTGTGCCTGTGGGGTGAGAAATTGCTTGAGCCTAGAAGTTGGAGGTTACAGTGAGCTACGGCCACAACACCATACTCTAGCCTGGGCAAGAGAGGGAGACTCTGTCTCCAAAATACACAAAAAGAATGCACGTCATCATTTCCAAGGTAACCACTAAATGAGCAGTGAAAGAATATATAACTACTAAGCTAAGTGGGGGAGGGAGGCTGTAATGTTTTCATTTTAATCAATCCAGAGAGAGAGACAGAAAGAGAGACCCAGAACAAGAAGGAAAAACAGAAAACACAAAGTAAGGTGATAGATTAAAAGTTACATATCAATAATTACATTGAAAGTGAAATATATTAAATACTCTAAAGAGGTAAGAATATGTCACCCTCCCAATATGCTGCTCTGACATATTGACTATTTTAAATCAAGGGCACTTAACAAAAAAACAGCAGGTACAAGATCACTCTGACCTTCATTCTGTTTCCTAAATGCAGGAAATGAAATTCCCATGTGAAAGATGTCCTCCCTATACCAAAAAGGGAAGTAATCTTATAATCAAGGGGGGAAAGTTAAAAATCAAGAAAATCTGTACAACCAAACTTTGTTAAACCAACCCTTATCTTCCTAGTCATTTCTCCACCCAATTAACTACCCTAGCCTAAAGCCTCTTTGCCTCATCTTATTTCACAACTTAACTGTTCTTTGTCCAATTCAGTATATAACTGACTGACCCTAACTACTTCTTTGGGTCTTCATTTTCTTATGAGGGGTCCTGTGTCATGTACAACTTGTATTAAAGAAATTTGTGTGCTTTTCTCCAGTTGATCTATGTCAATTTAACTCTAAAAGGGAAGAGGTATAGTTTGGCCTCCCCTACAACTCCAATTAAAAGTCAGATTGTCCTCAAAGGATCAATGCTTGAGGGATGGACACCCCATTCTCCATAATGTGCTCATTTAACATTGCATGCCTGTATCAAAACGTCTCACATACTGTATTGACACCTACTATGTACCCACAAAAATTAAAAAGAAAAAATTGAACTGTCGGGTAGGTTAATCATTTTTAAAACTATATACTGTCCAAAAATATTATACTTTTAAGAGATATACCTTAAAGGGCTATAAAAAAGTTGGAAATAAAAAGAAAAGATATCTACCACACAAACATTAACCAAAAGAAAGCTAATATAACTCTATTACCGTTGGATTTAACACAAAAGTCCAACACAGATGGAACTGAAAAGAGAATCCAGAAACAGACCTATACACATGACCTGATTTATAATAAAGGTAGAACACAAAGCAGTAAGGAAAGGGGAAGATAATCTTTACAATTAATCTATACTGTTCAACTGGATGTTCATAAGAAATACAACAAAACCTCACTACTTCATACTAACCATCTCATACCATACGCAAACACCATTTCAAGGTGGAACGAAAATTGAAAACAATTAAGTTTCTAGAACATAATATATTAGAACATCTTCATGACCATGCAATAAGAAATAAGCAATAAGCAAGATTATAAAAAAACTCTAACCATAAAAGACAACTGCTAAGTTGGACAACCTTAAAATTAGAAACTATTGTTCAATGAGAACATATGGATACAGGGAGGGGAACACCACATACTGGGGCCTGGTGGGGCGGCAGGAGGGAGAGCATAAGGAAAAACAGTTAAGGCATGCTGAGTTTAACATTTACAGGTTGATAGGTGAAGCAAACCACCATGACAAACATTTTCCTGTGGAACAAACCTGCACATCTTGCACATGTAGCCCAGAACTTAAAATAAAATAACCTATTGATTTTCTCAATCCATGAGCATGGGATTTAACAAAAGAAAGTACTCTGTTGGAAA